TTGAAATTTGTATAGAAATAATTATAATGGTATATAGTGCGAGAGAATGATGACGACACGGCGGTATCATCAAAAGGCTGATTGATGTTGTGTACCTATTGCTTAATATTTTTTGACTCATATTTAAATGTTCTTATTGAAGGTAATAGATCGGATATTGATTCTTTCTGAATGAAAAAAAAAACTATTGGAATTTTTGGGCTTAAAAAGACGGAACAGATGGCCTTCGAGTCAATGTCTATATAAAATAATTAATAATCAAATTGTGAAAATAAGATAATATACAATAGTAAGACTGAGGCGGCAATGTCCTCAAAGGGCCGTAACTGATGGCATAGAGTTCTATTATATTTGACACATATTTAAATTATTTTGTTTGTAGATAAGCTTGTATCCCTCTCGAAGAGCGAATGATCCGAAATATTTTTTAAATTATTTACCTTTTGTAAAATACCAAGTACTCGGCCATATTTGAATCTTTTAGTTATATTTTTGTAATGATTTAAATAATAAATTATCATACAGTTATAATATTATGTTTTGTGAGCATAATATTACAAAGCTATGACATAATTTTCCTCATTTAGACATATTTGTTAGGTCCGGATGTAGCATAGGTACTTTAAAGTACTTTTAAGTAATATAACAATAACTTGGATAAATATTTTACCCAACATACTTTTTAGTAAATGTATGAATAAAATACTATCTAGACATAAAAATAAAATTTGCCTTCCTAATACATTTAAACAATTTTCAAATTGTCGTGTGATCATTGTCTGTACTGTGGTTTTTACAAGTGTATCACATTTGCTAAGGATGCGCATAGGGATACTTATAGTAATAGTAGCTATAAACACCGTAATACTAGAAAAGTATTTATTTTAATTTTCATAATATCTTTGAAAAACTACAAAGTGAAGCAATAACACATGATTTCTAGTCATTATTAAATGTAAAAACATTTACGGCAAGAAAAATCGAAAATATTACGAATTTGAGTTTATTTAAACAGTTTTACAACAGTTAGGTGTTGTGTTAGGTTAGGGAAAAATTCAGGTTAGTAAATACATTTTTAATATTATGGGTTCAACTGATAAAGCGTGGTATCCTAATTCAATTTTTAACTAGGTATTCGTAGTATAACATCATAAGATTTTAATTGGTATAAATCAAGTATTAAAATTTTCCTACTCAATCCATTGTTAAAATATGTTTGTTTGGAACCAAACGCCATTTCTGATAACCTAACCTCCTATATAAAACAAATACAAATACATAAATATTTCAATCAAATATTCGTTATATATCGACTATAGTATGGTATAGTCATACCTACTTATTGTATAAAATGTTTAAATGTGCATCACAAATAAATTATTTTACCCACGAGCTTCCACTAATATTGTGTATATTTTTACACGGCCTGGTGAAATATTTAAAATGTTTTGCACAATGGTCACGTACCCGAAAACGAAAAACAAAATGACGTCCCATGGTGGAGCAAATTATTATTGCAGTCGGATAGGTACTAAAAAAACCAAATGTCTTCGTCCGCGTAAAACGCGTTTACCTTCTCAAGCATTATAATAATAATAATAATAATAATATTATAACGTTTCTTATCGGTACGATGGTGCAATTAAATATTATTAATTCGATCAATCGGGCAAGTGCATACATATTACAATGGGTCGTCGGCTTAAGAGTACAATAATTATTGAAAAGTAGTAGACGCGGCGACTGTGACACGTGACGCGCAATCCGTCGTAATAATAATCCGTATTTCACTATATCGTATTGAAATCGATACGCCACTACGATAGGTACGTGTGTACACGGTAATAATAAAACACTTTATATAATAGTAAATAGGTACATACTCGCATAGGTATGACGGAGCGATCAGCTAGTGAACAATAATAATATACTTCATTAAAATTCAGCGGGTAATAAAGATAACGTCTCCGGTAGTCGCGGTACACCTACGCACGGTTGTTAATTCCCACACTTATTATAATATTACGCCTAATTACAATAACACACGGTTAGGTACGCTCTACTCCGGTTCTCACTCGATCGTCTCCTCTTGAGTAAGGTATAGCCGTATCATATTGTGCCGAAATCAATACGATAATTATACCGGTTGCACTACCTATTTACGTACAACGCGAACAAACGAAATCGCACGTAAGTAGGTACGTTTGTTTCATAGAGTAACATGTTGCACTGTGGAGTTTGTCGGGTACCTAACCGCGGGTAGTACCAATCGGTTATAATAATTGCAGTTTTCGATATTAAACAATAATGATAATAATCCGGATCGCTTTTAGAAAATATCGACCGAATAAATAGTAGCTAGGTACCTAGGTACCGACTACCGATTTTATAATATTCGTACTGTATACCGAGCCGTATTTATCACGACGATTACAACACAATACGTATCTACGGGAAATTTTACAAAATCTATCTACTGGCTAGTGGCAGTTCGCCGTACAATAATATGTCCAATAATTAACGATAACGCGCGGTTCATAACACGATTTACGGGTGTGAAATAAAGTGTATAATAATATTACGTCGTTGAATCAATAATAATAATAACGCGTATTGCATAGTATTCGCGCGCGGGCATATTGTTTAAATCGAGTTCTTTACAACCAAGAATCACTGGAACGCTGATCCTCCATTATATATTTTGACGTGATAACAAAAGTGATAACATTAATCAAAACGTGTAAACACAATCATTTTTCTGCATTATTAATCATAATATTTTGTTAGCATATTCGAAATTAATTTCCCTTGGTACCAATAACTATTATATGTTTTCCGTCGAAATTACTATGTTTTACGTATTATATTTTAACGGAATTACAAAATACTATATCAAAATCATCGAAAAATAGTATTTACTTTTGACGCGTAATGTGAATTTGTATAGAATTTTAATAATTTTATCATTTTTTTTTTTTTTTTTTTTATATACAATTTTTACCACTAGAATAAATACACATTGCAATAGTGAAATAGGTAGGTACGTTTCTTTGTCGTCGAACATTTTTATTCCTTGTCACTGAACATTATGAGCTCGGATATCAGCACAAGAAATCCCCAGGAAGAATATGAACTGATTCAGAGGATCGGTAGTGGAACGTACGGCGATGTTTATAAAGTTAGTTACTCCATTCCAATATTTTACGGTTATATTTGTATTAATATTATGTTGAATTTAATGTGCCAATTGTAGGCCAAGCGAATTTCGACATCGGGTTTAGCCGCTATAAAAGTTATCAAATTAGAAGCTGGTAAGTGATTTAATGAACAGTGGTTTAATCATGACATATTTTTAAAAAAATTACATTTATTTATATTATTTATTTATATTTTAATATTAATTTTTATTATTTGTTTTTTTTCTCACTATTTGTAATTTTAGAATATTTTTATTAGCATTATTTTTTAAAATATGTTAAATTAATAATTTAGAAATGGTATTTATACCTATATTGCTTTTCTTATAATATTGTTAATTTTCATTTAATCAATTAGGTGATGATTTCGTAATAATACAGCAAGAGATATTAATGATGCAAGATTGTCAACATTCCAATATTATTGAATATTATGGTAGCTATTTACGTAGAGATAAGTTATGGATATGTATGGAATATTGTTCTGGCGGATCATTGCAAGACATTTATCATAGTAAGTACTTAGTATTCATACAAATATGTGTGTATTGTAAATCAGTTCAATATTTCATTTGAGGTTTTCTCTTGGAACATAGGGGAGCTAAATTTGTCTGTATATAATTTGATACTATTTAAATAATTATAATACCTATCTATACAGTATATATTGATCATTATTAGGGTAGAGGATTTGTAGCTCTAAAAAGTCACAAAATATGCACTTAAATACTCAAAATATGTATTAAAAATATGCAATTTGAAATTAAAAACAAAATTTTTAAAAATAATATATTTATCAAATTTATTTTATTGTTAATATTTACAACTTGCAGATACTTCTTCCAATTCTAAAAATAAAAAAACAAATATTTCAGTTTTTAAAATTGTTTATATTAACATTCATTATATTTACATTAATATTCATTTAGCAGTTCGGGAATAAATTATTTTTTCAATTCAATCTTTTTTTTAATTACTGATAAATATATACTGATGATTTAACATGAGGTATTATATACTTAAAAATAAAATAAATGGCAAATAGAATGCGTAGTCAACCATAAACTGTAGAAACATAGAACACTGGAATGAATATATTGGCATATTGATTACGGGCAAAGGAAAAATCAGTCAATAACCATATTATATAATACAAGCTAAAGAATAATTTAAATTTAACAATTTTGGGTTATATTATTGAATACAATAAAAATGCCATTGTGGAAAATATTGATAATATAAAATATGTCTCAACAATTATAAAGTAGAAGAAATATGCCTTACAAACAACAAAAACTCAAAATATGCATTTATATGCAAAATAAAATAATCAATCTAGCTTTGTCTTAGCATAAAATTTCTTACTCTGCTATTGAGTAAAACAAAGATATATAGTAATATATATATATTATATAGTGTAAAACAAATATGCAAATGCTACAAATTCTAAACATTATTATAAAAATGTAATTTAATGATTTTAATATCTTATGTTTTATATATTATTTGAAATAACATTAGGTGGGAACTTATAATATTGATAAGATGACCTCAAATTTGTTTATATTATTGCCACTGAATATAAATTAATAAACTATTGTAGTTTTTAACTTGAATAATTAAATTATTTAAAAGATAAGAGATCATAATAGTGTCATTGTATTTATTTATAGTTATTTAAATGTTACTCTTTAATTCTTATTTTTTACTATTAAAATCTTAACAACATTCTCTCCTACAAGAAAATAATATTTCTTAATACAAAACGTGTGTTAATATTATTGGTATCATGTATATTTTGTATGTATGAAGTTTTCTACTGAAGTATTTTGTTTTGTTTATCTATAAAACTAAATTTATTTTTAATCCTATGTAATCCTGTAGGTACTTAAAACCCCCCAGGGTATTAGAAAAGTAAAAATAGTGAAACTTACTGAATTAGGTACCTAGATGAAATAACTTAATCTTTTTTAATGAGTTGATGAGCAAAATTAATATGATTTATGAGATTTTACTAAAATTTTGTATAAAAGTTAATTAAAATTTCATATTTTATATGGGTTCTGAAATTGTTCTAACATGAATCAATATATAGTAAATATATAATATTTTACGGTTTATTATTCGAAAATAGGTATTTGTAATTTTCAATTTTCGAATTGTTTAGTATTTGATAGTTATTATAGGATATAGATAAAAATAACAAAGTGAGCTTTACTTTTGTTTTATGTACCAGGAATTAAAAATATGAAATTTTATATTGTTTTTTTTTCTGTGTAGTGGAGTATTTTAAATTTTTAGTGTTATTTTTTGTTAATATGCATAATATTAATGATTTATTTTGTATTTTTCCTAAATAGTAGAAAATATCTCTAATTTATGTGAATTGATAAGAAAAATACCTATAGTTTCGTTTCTTATTATAATCTACTTTTAAGTATCCCGGTGCATTGACCTAGTGAACAGTCTAGATTTATGACTCCTTATCGATTGTATTTCTATATTTAATAGAAAAAAATTTTCTTTTTTGCATTTTTCATGTTTTTATCACATACTATAAGCAGCATATTTTAAGATTTCTTAGGTTATATTTAAATTATTTTTAGAGCTATGAAATCCGTGCCAGAATCAGGTTATTAAAATGTGCACAGAAAGTTTCATGTACAATGTGATAACATGTAACAATTAATTATGCCGGATATTTTTTTATTGGTTGATTTTGGTTTGCATTTATTTATTTCGGCATTTTTATTTTTTTTTAGATTAAAGTATAGAATATTTCGTATATATATTTAGAGCATATTATATTTTAATGATTTTAGGGCACATAAATATTTGTTCTACTGATATATATTTGTGTCAATACACAAATCATATATTCAATATAAAATCTGTGATCCTTGATTATGTCATTTCCAATTCTTTATCTGTGTATGTTTAACAAAATAACTATGCTATTAAACCTGTTGAAGATTTTCACCCCCTACGACACTATCTATAACTTATAACTTACAATTGCTCAATTTCTACAGATGTATAATTTAATGACTAAGTCATGAATTGGAAATCTGGTAATTACAGAAGCATTATTTAGGTTATATTAACTGGTTCAATATAATTGATTCTATTGATTCTATTTCTATTGGTTCAATTGACTCTTATATATAATAATGACATTGATATTTTTTTATGTACCCATATTAATTATGCCATTAATCGATTTATACAGAAAGTTGGCAGACATAAATTAACATACCCTATTTGGTTTAGTAAAGAATTAAAATATTAATAAAACGTAAACAAATGTCTCATAGTATTTAAACAATTTTAAAAACACCCGACTCATACATAAGTTTTTCTAATCTTCAGTCTTTTTAAATAATTAGATCTCATGGTTATAAAGTTATATTGCACACAAAACTCAGTCAAAATTAATCATAAACAATTTTTGGAATTTTTATAATTCACAAAAATTAAATAATCAATTACTTGTATCTATGTACTATTTTGATCAAGAAGCTACCTCTGGTCTAGAAATTGTTAATTTACTTGTCCAAAAAATAAATAATTATTTTATCCTTCATCGATTAATAAAAAGTACATGTTTTACAATATTTTAAAACCTACTTAAAGCTTTGTTTTAAAACATATAGATACCTACTAAATTTAATAAAAGCGAAAATTATCTAATACGAGTTAATAAATAAATAATATATTTATGAGAATATTAGTTAAAAATAAAGATTTGAAGTCCTATACATTTATTTAAATTTATTGGGTGTCTTTATATTTTGAATAGCATTGTTTTTTTTATTTAGTTAATATATTTTTAATATTTTAAACTATGAAGAGTGTATTATGTAATACAGTGGTTTTCAATATGTTTTAGGGGTGAGATCAAAAATTATTTTGAAATTTAAAATTAAGAAATGTTCTATTTTCAATGTACTTAAAACAAAATATTAAATGAAATTATAGTTTGCAAAGGCCTATAGTTTTATGATGTTTAAACAAATACAAATTATTAAAAGTGTTGTAATTGTATTTTATAGTTACTGGACCACTTACTGAATTACAAATAGCTTATATGTGCAGAGAAACACTGAAAGGGCTGTCTTATTTACACACTGTGGGTAAAATGCACAGAGACATAAAGGTAATTTTTTTTTTTAATAATTGTCTTAATAATAATATGTTCATTTACATTATAAAAGTTCAAAAAAAAAAAAAAAAAATTATTTGAAAATGATTTTTACCTAGAATAAATTACTATAATTTATAATTAAAATTTGAGTATACTAGACAAAATATTTAATTTTGGAATAATTTTAATTAAATGATTTGTTTATACATAAAATCATTAAAATATGAGTTTATTAAATTTTTAAAAATATATATAAATTATTAAATATTTGTTTTTGTAATTTAAAGCTAATATATTAATTAATTAGTTACGCATAGTTTATTAATTAGGGATGATATTTTTTTTAAAGTCTGTTTTTAATTCCTCTTCTTTTATTTTTCAATTTGAGCACTGGTTAACCTTCTAGATGAGTTTTTGAGAAGTTAACATATGAAAGGTACCATAGTTTGTATACCACAAAGATAAATTATTGCAATATAAAAAGATTCTGGTAAAATGTTTTGATAAATCTAAATTGAAATAAATACCAAATGTTTGCATTTTCAGCAAAATTTGTTGTATATTTAAACTTTAAACACATTAAAAAATAGTGTTATGCTAAAAAAACTTTCACTTATGTAGCTAATAATTTAAATTCACACATATTGAAAAACTGTATGCAAATACTGTTAATGATTTTTATTAGTTTTGTTAAAATATAAACTTTATATGCTTACCATAAAAAAATATTTGTTTACTATTGTTCCTTTTCTATAATTTTTAAGAATTTTTATGGACTGATTGTAATCCACATAAAACCAATAGCAAAATACATTAAATTGCAAATTTAAAATATTTCTAAAAGATAGAACAGATAGAAATTTGAATGTATATCTGTATGCAACAATAAACGCTAATGAAAAAACTATTTCAAGCAGAGTTCAGTTGATAGTGTTGCTTTGTCAACAATATATAGGTCATATTATATATGGTTTTAATTTTATTTAATAATATTTGTTTAATATTGTTGAAAACCAACAATTATAATTTTTATTTACCTGTATAACCTAACATAAAGATGAGTATTTATTGCATGAGAAAAGCAGAGTGGGACAGCTAGTTATATATATATATATATATATATGAATAAAATATTTTTGTGTTGTATATTTTTAGGGAGCTAATATATTATTGACTGATGGTGGGGATGTGAAGTTGGCAGATTTTGGTGTTTCCGCCCAAATCACAGCTACAATAAATAAACGTAAATCATTTATTGGTACTCCATATTGGATGGCACCTGAGGTTTGTTAACTTTTATTTGATTATATTATTATTTATTTATAGTAATACATTATTTTAAAAGTCATTATTTTTCCAATAGTTCTAAATCTACTTATTGTAATGTGTGTGTGTGCAAATTAAATCATTTTTTTTTATTAGTAAATATATGTATATGGACTATCCAGAAATATAAAGCTTATCAATTGTTAGATATATTGCACTGATAAACAAATTTATAATTTTTCATTTGATTAATAGTATTTTTAAATTTAATATTTTTTTTAAACAAAATATCTGTACTATGCTTGAGCTTTTAAATAAATATTCATTTGCCCATTAAATCCTAAAATAATTTATCAGAAATAGCAAAAGCACCTTCCTTGTGCACACTCCTCTATGAATATTGTATTTAATAACCTTAACAGCAGTAACAATGTAATAATAAAACCTTATATGGTATTATAAAAATGATCATTAAGAGTTACTTGAAGTCTTAAATGTTATGAGTCAACAATATCAGTTAAAGATTAATGAAAACAACAATCATTAAATCAACCAATATTTTTGCAAAAATGTTTATTCTTAGCACTGTTTATGTAAAAAAAACTGTATGTATATTTTTAGGTTGCAGCTGTTGAGAGAAAAGGTGGTTACAATCAACTTTGTGATATATGGGCAGTAGGAATAACTGCTATAGAACTGGCTGAATTACAACCACCAATGTTTGATTTGCATCCAATGAGAGCTTTATTTTTAATGTCTAAAAGTGGTTTTAAACCTCCAACTTTAAAAGATCGAGATAAATGGTGAACAGTTTATTTTAGTTTATTAAATAAAAAATAAAATATAAGTTTTAATAATTTATAATATGGATTTTAATGTTTTAAGGAGTCCAACTTTTCATAATTTTGTAAAAATATCATTGACAAAAAATCCCAAGAAACGACCCACAGCTGATAAGCTGTTGATGGTGAGTGAACTATTGATATTGGCTTACTTATTATTTAATCAAACATATTTTTCAATAAATCTTTTTAGTAAATTCACTATTAGTTCAACTATCTACTATTTAACAAGCCAATTTTTTCTTGATATTATTCTTAAAAGAAGTGTTGTCTATTAGGTAACTTTCAGATAACTAATAATTATATTTATTCTAATTTATACCAAAAGTGTTATATTTGACTTAGTTGCTATGATTAAAAAAAAAATAGATCATTTTTCATAGATATTAATATTATGAAGTGTTTAACGAAATTACTTTTTTTTTAAATTAATAATAAAACAAAAACTTTATTGTTGCTACATTTTGGCATATTATTATCATTTCTTACTTCTCAGAGATCCAAACAATTAAAAAAATAACACAATAAAATGCATACAAAAAAAAGCAATAATAATAATCTTATAATTATATTAACACTGTAAAACAATTTTTTTAAAATAAATATGACATTTATTATCAGAATAAAATGCATCAACTTACTTTTTCACTTTCTATTTTTTTTGCAAATATATTTTTTTAAATTCAAAAAGTTATCTATGATTGTAAAATATATTGCATATATATTGCAAAATATTGTATTTCCCAATAAATATAATTACAATAAAATACAGTTTAGTTAAATAATTATTTAACTTTTTAAATATTTTTCTTGAGAAATATTTTCTAACAGAAACAAAACATAATTTCTTAATTTAACATAATTCATTTTTTGTCAAGAAAAATATTTGCTTTAATATCAAATTATTTTTGTATAGCATTCATTTTTTTGTCAAGATATGAGTAAACGACTTGCTATTGATTTATTACAAAAAGCAAGTAACCCTGCTGCTCAAACATTTTCTGAAGTAGAGCCTGATGATGATGTAAGTATAAAATAAATAATTATTCAATGAAATCACTAATATAATATTATAATGTATGTAAATAATTTCCACTACATACCTAATAAAGAATACCAAATTATGTAATAAGTAGGTATCTTATATGAAATATTAAAGGTTATATAAATCTCTATATTAATTTATTATTTTAGTAGAAACAATAAAGAAATATCAATACTTGTATAATAAATATAATGATAATGAACTATTTTATATTAAAAACATTTTTTTGAAAAAACAAGACTTAACAAGTTGACTGCTGTAGTATTTTAATAGAATTGTTCCTACACGAAAATAGGTACTCACCAGTTTTGTTATCTAGCCGTTGTATTTTCAGATGGATTATAAGACAGGCTTTGTCTTTTTTTTTTTTTTTGATTTTTGATTATTTTCTTATCTTATTGCATTATTAAAGTCAAACAGTGTGAGTAACATTATTGGTACTCAAAGCATATAAAAATATGATTAAAACATTATGGCCTAGGGTACAAATCAAGTGAGTACCAATTTTGGTACTCATGACAGTCAACTTGTTAAAATGTATTTTTTTTAAGTTAAATTATTAACTTAGTATTGGTATATTACCATCATTAGGCTAATTATAATATTGTTTTTGGTCAATTACATATAAATAAAAGACAAACATATATATTTGAAATAAAAAGGGTAAAAAACTAATTTATGTACAAATGTGATATTAAAAGCAAATGTTATAGAAATACATAGATTTCTAAACTTCACAAACTCAGAAACTGTAACTAAGTAAATATAACTTGAAAACATATTCTAAGTCTTGTTTTTTCAAACAATTTGTTTAAATATATGTATTAAGAGTGTCAAAATCTCAAACAAAACTATTTTATATTAAAAAAATACTAAAATCTATTTATAATTTCAATATTTTTAAAATTATAATAGGTAATCTGCAATGTTCCACGACGCATTGCATCCAAGTCCACTATTGATCACAGGGGTTTGTAAAATATTAAGAATTATTTAAATATGAATACATTAATGAAATGAAAAAAACTAATTTTTATAGGTGTACCAACAGAATCAATTAACATCCCTTTCAATAATAAAAAGGATAATTCTACCTTATTGGGTTCTCGAAATTTGGGAATTAATATTAGAAAAAACTTACTAGTGAGTAACTAATTATACATGTTTACTTTGATAACATTATGTATATATTTATTATAATATTTTTTTTAGCGCAATAATGACTGTGATAATTTTGAAAAATTAGATTTGTTAACAACTGAAAAGTAAGTACTGCATATATATGTTGAATTGTAGAAAATATATGCATTTTTTTATGTATTGTAGTTTGTAATGCTTTGTTAAAACATTTAAATACAAATTAATGCATATTAACTTCATTTATAGTGATTTCCCAATATTTGTTGTACATAAGTATATTATACATTTGTATTTCTTTATTTTATTTATTTTTTTTGTTTAGTACAAATATTAAGTTATATAAAACTAATGTCAAAAATGAAATTTAATACTTTTACATTTTAATTTTGTAACAACATTTATTAGTTTTACATTTCTTATATTTTATACTAAATTGTTCGATTTGTGAAATTTTGTGCACAGCTAATTAATTTAAGCCAATAAACTGTTTTTATGACATGATACAAAATTAACTTCATTATCTTAGTTTTGAATATTTGTTGTTCATTCATACAGAAGCAAATTTTATTTATAAATTATATTTTTATATTACATTTAATTAAAACAGATCTCTCTCTCAAAAAAAAAAAAAAACTGTGTTACTATAATTTATTACTGTTTTTTACAATTTTTTTATTGGCTACACCTAGCCAAACTATTATATACTTTAGACTCTCTGACCTCATAGGTATTGTATGTTAATCTTAAATACATGCATATAATTTAAATTATTTGAAAGTGGATTAGTTTTACTATGATTCCACTTCAAGCGTTCTCACTAATTCATTTTACTTCAATTTAAAATTTGAATTAGTTAAATTTAGAACAAAGACTATAATTATGTTACTTTATACTATATTTAAATAAATATTTATTAAGAGATGGGGTCTTATTTTAATTTTAGTTAGTGAATGGTTTTTTTTAAATTTTATTAGTATTTATATTTTATTTTATTTTAATCATATTTTCTTTTACACTTTTATTTGTTAGCAACCCATGTTTTTTTTAAAAAAAAAAAAATACTTTATTTCTAATTATAAAATGTTTAGATAGTAAATTATTTGATAAAATGTAATTGAGGTTTCATACTGAATACATTTTTTAAATTCCTGCTAGTTTAAAAATATATAATAAATAGAACTATTTAAATCAAATTATATTGAGAATTTTAATAATTGGGATTTTATAAATTATTTATATATTTTTAATTAAAATTAAAGAATTTAAAATTTATTGGTCATTTAATTTCTACAGGAGTCTTCTACAAAACATTGACGAAGAACTTAAACTGAGGTATGAAACCCTAATAGATTTTTTAACTTCGCACAATTAATAAATTAAATTGGATCCATTAAAATATATTCTTATTTCATCACATTGCCAATTAAATATGGCTATTGGTGTCAATAGTTTTTGATCCTATAAATGTATGCTTTTATTAAATTAAGTTAAAAATAATTAATAGAATTATTTATATTAAATATTTGTATATTTCTCATTAAATATATATCATAAGTTATTAGATAGTCTTGCTTTAATTAATAAATGTATGTATATATATTATATATTACTACAAGTAGTATGATTAAAAGTGTTTATTTTGCTTGATTTATTGGGTTATTGGAATGTTGACCTAAGCTATTCTGTGTAGCATGATAAAAATAATATTAAAAGTTAATTAATTGGCCTTACAAAATTGGCTATAATATTCAGTAAAACATTTTTATATTATTAATTATTTTATTATTTATTTTTTTTTTTAGAGGTGATTTTTCTCATGTATTTAATGAACACATGAATGGAAGTTATGAAGAATTGTAAGTATAAAATAAATATAAATTCTTATGGTTAATACATTAATGTAGGGAAATTTACTTTTTGACTGTTAAATACTAATTTCAATATTTAAAAAAAAAAAAATAAATAATATATTTATATTGTTTATACATAAATCCAAAACAAATAATAAGTACATTATTCTTAAGTTTTTCATTTTTTTATCTATTTGTTTTAGATCTACTTTACCCTTGTCTGACAAATGTTCTGTGCCACATTCTTCTAGTCAAAAATGTAATTATTCTAATAAAGGCAGCGTTTATCAAAATTTAAAAGGTACTATTTTATATAGATCTAAAATGTATTTATATGTATTATGTTACCTTTATTGAGATGACTTAAATAAATAATTATTCATTATCAAGACCTTATAATTATTTAAAACAAAAGGTATAAAATATCATTAAAAATATGTTAATAGAAATTCTAATTGGCTTAGAATATTATTATTAAATTTCAATATAATGGTATGTATATATGTATATGTTTACATCGGAACATTCCAATTGCATCCATAAATGATATTTTGTCCAAGTCAGTTGCATCTGGGATTTTCTTATGATCCAAGTTTTGTCTATGTACATAATAATTGATATATACATATTTTCTTTCCCACTTTTACAGACTGAGGACTGTCATTTATATAAGTGATGTGGTTAATAATATATATATTTTAGGTATTAAAATTTTTTTTATTGATCTAAAATGTATTTATTAAAAATAATAGTATGTTGTACCTTTGTAGTATTGTTATATATAGATACCATGTTAAATTATTTTTATTCTATAAACTGGTAAATTTTTGTATGCCAATTTTCGAATTAATTCAAGAGATGTGATATATTTCTGTTTCAAACTATGTTATAGTATTTTTAATAAAATCTTCGTTTTATACATCTTCTGTTTGGTTATTAAATTTGAGCTTTGCATTTTAATAAAATATACAGTTTGAACATTTTTGATATGAACAACATAAACAAAATTAATTTCTAATAATAAATTGTAAAATGATATACCAACCTATAATAAGGTATCCATAAATTAATGAAATTATAGTGAAGCATATAGGAATAGAATAACAATTATTCTTGCAGATGCAACTCAGAACCGTCACCAAAAAACCATTTTTTGGGACACAATTCATGTACAGCCGTTTACATATATTATTTATACGATTAATTTTAATTTAAACCACCACAATGTTTTTCAATAATTAAATATATTTTTTAGATAGTCCTACATCATCTAGACGACATAGCTCTCTAGATGAATTTATTGCACAGACAAATAATTCATCAAATGGACGTCAACGTTCTTTTAGTGATAGTGGAGGTGAATAAAAATGTTTTGAGTTTTTATAGTATTCTTTTGTGTGTATTATATTTTGTTTATAGGAGAAGGTGCTGAATCTGATTTATTAATCGATACAACACCCCCAGTACCACCTCGGCGTAGAGATCGTAAGCAACGTAATTCCCCTCCTAAACAAATTAGTAATGGGTTACCACCTACACCAAAAGTGCACATGGGTGCTTGTTTTTCTAAGGTATTTTATTAAGTACTATTATTTATTCAAAGTAGATATTTTATTTGAAAAGTTTTTAAGTCAAGTACATATAATAACTAAATAATTAAATATTTGAACAAACTTATTTATTTTAAAATCATTTTTAATCTGTGGTTTGTTTAATTTTTAAGCGATTATTTAATAATGAAAAATGTATACAATATATATATACAGTGTGTTCACACTAAGAAATATCACTAAATATTTCAGTTGGATGGATTAGTATTGAAATGTAATTTTCAGGGACCAATAGGGAGTATCCAAGTACAGAATTTTCAGACAAATTTCAAATTTTAAACCTTTTGGTACGCGCATGTGCAATACATCTTAATTTTTTTTAAATGTCAACATCATTTTTTTTACAGATTCAGATAAAAAATAATAAAAATGTACACACTATAAATTTGAAATTAAGATTTATTTATTTACAACTATAGTTTTATGAAATAAACTGTTGAAAGTTTATGCATTGGTGTTCCAAACAGTTTAAAAATTCTCTTGATGTGGCAGTGTTTATTTGGTCCTCTCTCAAATTATTACATGCTACTCATAGTTTGTTTTTTAAATGCTCCCATCAAAAGAACTGTAGTGTTTATTTGTGTCTTAGTTTACAAACAGGTATTTCACAATATCGAAGATATCAACATTTTGATATTCTAGTATAAAAGTTGAACATAGTTAAAATTTTGTTAATTATAGATTATTAGTAAATATTAAATTAAATTTCAACATACTATAATTTTTTCAATTTTGTAGTTAGAAAAAAACTTTATACAAAAATTGTTTTAAAAAAAATTAAGTTGTATTGAACATGCGCTATCAATAGGGTTAAAAAATTTAAATTTATCTGAAAATGTGTATTTGGGTTTTCACTATTGAACCCTGAAAATTCCATTTTAATACTAGGTCATCCAACTAAAATATTTAGTGGTACTGCTTAGTGTGTACACGCTGTATATTGGAAAATTAATTTTGCATTCAAATACAGCTTTTAGCAGTATAATACAAATTAAACTATAGGTTTTTTTAAATTGTTATATGTATCTTATTTTGTTTCATTGTTCTGTTGACATTTAGGTTTTTAATGGATGTCCATTAAGAATATATTGTACTGCTAGTTGGATTCACCCTGAAACTAGAGATCAACATGTTTTCATAGGAGCAGAAGAAGGCATTTACAATCTAAATTTGAATGAACTGCATGAAACAGCTATTGATCAATTGTACAATAGACGTACAATTTGGTTGTATGTTATCAAAGATATTCTTATGTCTCTATCTGGTAAAGTATTAAATTCTACTTGGTATACAGGGTGTAACAGGATTATTTGACTTTTTACATTGTAGTTATATGTAAAAATGTCAAATAGTTCTGTTACATTCTATATATTATTTAATATATTTACTGCATTTTATTATTGGTCAGTCTAAGGATAGAAGTTTTTCCAGGATTTGAATAACTCTGTTTATTTTTATATATTGCAATCTTCTATCATATTTTGAAGTTGAATACATTTTAATGTATTCATATAATATTATTGATGTATAATTATAATACTTACAATTTAGCTATAAACTATTATAGTACAGTAAATGTGTAAAAAGCCTTAGATATTAATAATTATTTAATTAATTAATTAATTTTTGTTTTATTCAATACAGGAAAAACCACCCAATTATTCAGGCATGATCTTTTAGCTCTCCATGGAAAACAAAGCCATAGGTTTTCACAACACATGACCAGAATTCCAGAACGATTAATGCCCAGAAGGTTTGCCCTTACAACCAAAGTTCCAGATACCAAAGGATGTATAAAGTGTTGTGTAGGGCGTAACCCTTACAATGGTTATAAATATTTATGTGGAGCAATGTCTAATGGAATTTTTTTAATGCAGTGGTATGAACCACTCAATAAGTTTATGCTTCTAAAGGTAATAATACTATTAATTTCGCTATTTTAACATTTGAATGTACTCAAAAGAATACAATTATTTTTTACTTATCTATAGCATTTTGAATGTACTTTACCATCACCTTTAAGTGTTTTTGAAATGGTTATTACACCAGAATTAGAATACCCACTTGTGTGTGTTGGTGTGAAAAAACCAATAGGACCCATTAGAAAGTCTATGAATTTGAAATTAGAATTGATTAATGTTAATACTGGGGCGTGTTGGTTTTGTTCTGGCGAGACAGATGATTCTGATAATACAGGTTAGTAATATCAGTTATTAAAGTTTTTAAAATAATATTATAAAAAAAATATATAATAATCTAAAAATATCTAAAACTTCTGTTCTTTGTTTAATAAACTGTATATAATAACTATATATAATTTACCTATACTATATAATAATATAATAATATATTTATTTTAGGCACAGTTATACAGAGAAGAGATATTATGGATGTTATTTGTGTCTGCCAGTTGGATACAGACTCCTTTTTAATATGTTATAAGAGTATGTATTATATTTGATTACACTATAACAAACAGTTTAATTTATTCAAATGGTATTTATCCAATTTAAAAACTCAATTTTTTAACTTATCAAGAGTTTACTAAAATACCAACATACTAATAAAATAAAATAATAAATGATTGCAAAATTAAAATTAAAAAATTAGAATTAAACAATGTTTTCAAAATTAATATCCTTTGAACATTAAAAATTGTGCATGCATTTTTATTTAGAACTAGGAAACTAAGCACCCATGTCAACTTCTAAATTCATCAAAGAGGTGATTGATTTTCTATAGATTAACCTTTGTAGAAGTTATAATTTTACAACAAAGGTACAATTGTGTTTTCAAATATTTTTTATGGAAATTCTCAGTATAGATGTACTATATTTAAATTAAATGGATAATATTAAGTAAATATAAGTAAATAATATTAATTTTATAAATACAGTGAACCCTGTATACAATTGATAATTGCGTTACCATATAAAATGTCTGTTATAGACATTTTATGTCCATAATAGACAGGTATGGTGATATTGCAAAGAAAAAACTAAAAGGAACAGAAAAAAATGCACAACACTATAATAGCGAAGTGATATGAAATAAACATTAAGAGTCTTTACATTTTATAAATATTTTTGGTTATTTTCATCCTCACAATTAACTTTATACTTGTTATTAATAATCCATACCTATACAAAATAGACATTGAGTGGTACATATGTATACTTTTGCAATACATTTGATTTTGAACTAAGATAATTGTCTCTTATCAAGGTTCATTAAAAGAGGTGTTCATAATATACAGGTGTGCATTAAGACATGTTTCATTGTATCTATTTTTATATTGATAAGTTTGTGCCATAGATAATACATTTATTATTTACAGTGTCTGTATAAATTGTTGTTACTTTTTTTCTGTATCATTTTTATGTAAAATAATATAATATTTTATATATAAATACATAATTGTGCTATTGACTTTGATGAGTGTAAATATAGTTATACTATATTTTAAGAATGAATTATAATTTGTTTGTTTTCTTAAATTCAGCTTATGTAACATGTAGGTAGGTATCACAAAATGTCCAGTCACCTGTGACTTCTAATAGGAAAAATTATAGAAATTTGAAAATTTAAAGTTAAAATATTGTACTTATGCTATCATTCAAAGGTTAAAAAGAAAAAATAGCATTTATTTTGTGCTTTCAAATGTTTTTCTCTTTATTGCACAAATTTATTTATAAAAATTGTACATTTATAGGCCTTAAAATAAACTCCTCTACAAAACAATTATCTTATACACAAAATATTAATTCTTCTTCTTTTTGGATTATCCATCTGCTAGGACCATCCAATCCCACAACCAATTCTCTAGTCCCCAGATTCCAATCCTTATAATATCACTGGTCATATTAGGCTGGTATACAATTGGTTCGTTATCTCCCATAATAATTACCTTGAGCTTAATAGTTTCACAAGATCATAATAAGTCTTATTTTTTGCTTGGATTCTTCTTTGGTGATATTTTTTTCGCTCACGAATGTGCCAAGATATTTGTAAGAAGTAACTTTTTTAAGTTTACAATGACCTATCTTCAATCCACTATTCACCCAATTTTGTCTTCCTACAATCTTATATTCAGTCTTTCAAAGGGTTATTTTACAACAACTTGAGATTCATCCATCAGTACTACTTCATTTGTGTATGCCTATAAGGGAATATAAGGGATTTCTGGAGTTGTATTCCTTTTTGGAGTTCAATTTTTATCTTTCTTATTACTTTGTACAAAATGAAGTTGAAAATAATAGATAAAATGTAATCATCCTGTCTAAGGCCATATTGTACTGTAACTAAATCTGACTCATGCTTCGGACATTAATTTTGACCATGGTTTCCATGATGTTGATTGAGACTAAGTTGACCAATTTCTGGGAGAAATCAAGATCTTTATAAGACTCTCTCTATGAAGTGTTGTGTGGTTACATCCTATTTACTCAGTAAAAATAAAGTAAAATAATCTGATTATGTATAAGGCAATATTAAAGAATTTTTTTTTTGAAGTTTTTAATATTTCATTAAAAATACAAAATAAAACTATTATATTATCTTGAACATCACACATTTGATAATTCTTAATCTATTACTAACTAATTATTATTAATGTTTAAAAAACAATCACTAATCCTGCAGAGGTTATCAATCTAAACAGTAGTAAAAAAATATACATAATTAATTTTAATAAATTATTGCACTGCATATTACAAAATTATTAAAAATTACCCCTCCCTCCCCCTCTAATTATATTGTAATATAATAATTTATATAAAGAGTTATTAATAGTATTTTTATATTTTAGATGCTGTAAAAATAATTAATCTACATGGAAATCTCAAACAAGATAGAAATCAAATAAATCAATTGTATTTTGACTTTAATGTTGAGTCAATTGGTTAGTAAATAAAAAAAAAAGGATAGTTATTTTATAATAGCTTTTTTCTTTTATTATATAAATTTTATAAAGTTACATATATTTGTGATCTTTTTATTAATTTTAATTTACTTAATTATTTTTAGTTCGACTGTCAGACAGTATTTTAGCATTCCATAAATATGGTGTTCAAGGCCGTAGTCTCAAAAATGGCGAAGTTACTCAAGAAATAGTTGATAAAAGTAGAACTTATCGGCTTTTGGGTTCAGATAAGTATGTAATTTCTGTACCTACATAAGGTGATTGGAAGCAGTTGATTTTCTTTTTTGTCACAACACTTGTGAAGCATAGGAATTTAGCCAAGTTTTCATTTCAATGTAGGATTGATTTACTAAAGCTAGAAGAGATATAAATTCTGGAAACAGATTTGAATTTGTCTTCAAGTTTACTTGAAATTGAGTTTCCCTCAATTATGTTTTTAAACTTCTTAATCCTAAGCAATGTTATGTTAAAAAATAAAGGGAATATTTCTTGGCATACATGAGTTATAAAGAGATGAGAATATTACTTTCTTATTCTTATACTATCAAAGCAATTAGGAAAATGGCGATGGGTGCAGCCATTGTAGGTGGGAAGTTAAGAGGGTAGGATATGGACAAGATTTTAATGTATATCTGTGAGCAATGATAACTCTATTCCTAACGAAAAATGATTCTAAGGGGAGCTCAGTTGATAGTGTTGCTTTGTAAACAATATATATATGCCATATTATGGTAAAACAATTACGTCTGTATTATATATTTTCTTTAATAATATGTGTTTAATATTGTACCTATTTTCCTGTTTTACCTAGGTTTTTTCAGTTTTCCCATCTATTGGGAAAACTCTTGGAAAAATTAAAAACTGACCTGCCTTAAGTACCACCATAGTCAGATTTACTTTTAGAAAAATTGCTATCATTGTAAATTGGAGTAAAATTACTGGTAGAAAAGTTGTTTAGATAAAAAAAATAAATTGGTTAAGTTGATTTCAAGTGGACTTGATAAAATATTCAAATTTATTTTCAGAATTTTTATCATTTCATTAGATCAAATTGATAAATTGGAATGAAAATACATCTTAGTTCCTACATTGTTCATGTGTTAGGCAAAGACAGACAATCACTCTCCCAACCAGCTTAACTATCTACCAAGCATTTGTTTGGTTTAATTAATATTGTATCTACTAATTATAATTAATTTTGTTGAGTTTTGTATATTATTTTATATTTTATTATTATTATAGAATCTTGTTATTGGAATCTCACATGGTTTCCAAAAGAGCTGATGACGGCACAGACCTATACATTCTAGCTGGACACGAAGCCAGTTATTAATTATAATTAATAATAGATTTAATTATTTTTTATAACTAATTATACTGCATTTTACATTCATTTTTACAAGGAAAGATATTATGAGCTAACTACCTACCTATTGTTTTAATACAATAAATTTAATATTTCACTATAAAGTACATGATAGTATTATGTTAGTCATTGCTTTTTATATATTTATTCAATTGACGTCTAATTTAAATATACATAATTTATGTATTTACATTTTCACCATATAATATATCATACACAAATTCACTTATTTTTATTATCACTAAATATTTTCTAGGTGAATTAATTTTAGAAAGTTATTTTAATGGCACGCAAAAGCCTAGATTTTATTTGTGTACTTTTCTTAACAAAACTATATCAATCAAAGCAATATAAGATTGTAACAATAATGTTATGCAAATAGTATTTTTAGGAGTTAAAATTTTTTTAAAACAAGTCATATATATTTGTATTTTTTTTTTTTTTGGTAATCAAATCTTAATATCTATTCTATTGAAAAAGTACAAAATTAAAATGTTTAAGTTGTTGGATTTGTATTGTTCTGAGAATGAATATATATAAAAAAGGAAAAAGAAAGATAATAAATGTATTTTTAGATGAAAGTTTTTATCGTTTATTTATTTTTATATTTGTATAATATAATTTTTATGTTTAACTAAATGATAATACTTATACAAGTAATAATTTGTGTACTATAATCTTAGTAAAATTAATAATATATATGAAAATATATTTGTTAATTGGTATGTACATACCTACTTATGCTAGTAAATATTAGAGTAATTAATAAAATATGTATAGTACACTAGCGAAAAAAAGATTTTATTCTTTATTATAGAATTTAGAGAATTGTTCAAAATGGTTATAAATTACTTTTTAGGGAAGTTCTAAATTAACTTTGTTTTCAAATAAAATAAAATCCACTCTACACATAAAATCTATAAAATATTGTTATAATGAGGTTTTGTTAACTAGAAGTCTATTGTATGTCTGTATATACATAGTGTAACAAAGTTCTAAGACTGTTTTTTTTTAGAAAGAACAAATAAGTTAGGGAAAAATGTTTATTCATTTCATTGCTTTTATCAAATAGGTATATAATTTCAGACAAAAATGTTAAATTATCAAAAAACGCCTTCACATACAAAACCATCCATCTAACTATAGTATAGAGTAGTCTATGGTTACACCAAAACATACTATTTTATCAATTAAATCATTAAAAATATAAACTAAAAGTAATTTTAATTCACTTTTTCCAATTTATTTTTTTGACTTTTAACATAATTATTTAGTTTTTGTGTAAGACTCCTAGCAGTTCACAATAGTAAATACAGTTTCCCTAATATTTTGAAAAATTGTAATATTTTTTAACTGTTTATTTTTTAATTTATTTTATGGATTTTAAAATTATTTATTGTTATTTTACAAAAATCTCAATTTGTCCAACAGTGGTTTATTTACACCTGTAAAGTTAAACATAAAAGGTTTGAAAAAAAAGCCGTTTTATAAATGCTCAACCTTCAGTATAATTAATTATTTAATGTGAGATTTTGAGTCTATTAAAAAATATATTGGTTTTACTATGATCTGTTTTTTATTGTTTTATTTGTCAACAAGTTTTCTACTAGAAAACTTGCTCTAAATTATGCCCAAAGATCTTTTTTTGATTGCATTTTGGATCTAGTTGATGTATAAGTAAGTTTATTTTTTGATTTTCCTAGATTATCAATATAATTGGGAAAAATAGAAAAAACTTAAAAAACTGAAAACTACAGTTGAACGGTTTTAAAAATTATTATTTTAAATTTTATTTTCTAAAAGAAATATTGTTTAAAAGCGTTTTAAGATCAAATTATTTTAATCATAGCCTATTTTGAACTTGCTTTGTTAGTAAGTAACATTTTACAATTAGTTACAGTTAACTATACGTAATATATTTTGTATTTCTCAATCATGCAAGTTACACTTTAAAAATTCCTTGCCTTTCTTACATATATTCCTCTGTCATCACTAAGCTCAAATTATCTTCTTTAGCTCACCGTCATTACTTACATAGTATTTCCTTCCTCATAAGTCTTATCTCGGTCGTTATTAATTTTTCCTCTCTATTTCTGCCTATTAATTTTAAAGTCCCCTACAAGTCTTGCCATAAATTTCATTTTCACATTACTCTCTGTTCAAACAATATCCAATTAATAATCAATTAATCAAATAGGGCAATTGGCAAATAAGATTTTAATCATCACTTGTTTTAATATTGTCATTCAATAACCTACCTATATCTATTCAATTGTTTTCATAATGTACCTTATTGCTTGGACACAAGGCCGTTTAATTTATATAAATATAAATCTTATTCCAACCATATACCTACAATTTAAAAATTATTTAATAATTCTAATAAAATAAAAATAATTACAAATATGAAATATACCCATAATTTAAAATAACAACTACCTGACACATTTAAGAAAAGTTTTTTTTGTGATTTTCAATAAGACAACAAATTTAGATTTCTCTATTTTTTAACGTAACATAGGTAATTGTAAAGTTTGAACATAGTTAAATATTATATATTTATTTTAAAGTGAATTTGAATAATAATTTAGAAATTACATTTTTATTACATATTCTTAGAATGTTGTGAAAACAGCCTAAAATATGGTTTGTATCCCTTCCTTTTCAAATATTAATATTTTCAACGCTTAAATACTTATTTTAATAAAAATGGAGCTAGTTATTGTTTTACAATCTGTTCGTAAAGAATAATGTCATAAAGATAGTAAAACGTGCAGTAAGTAGGTACCTACCTAAAATTTCAACGGTCAAACTTCAACGAAAATATTACAAAATCGTGGGCATAATTCTAGTTTTGCTATCATGTGATTTTTTTGGTTTATGAAGTTTTCCCCATAACTTCCAAACGAAGTTCAATTGACTTTTTTTTAGATTCTGAATGTATTGATTTTGCTAAGATGTTTATTTATTTTTATTTTATTTTTTTATCCTGAGTACAAAAATTCGACCATATATCTTGCTCAGATATATACGCGTAGCACCATATATGAAAAGGAATGTTGTCCAGAGGGTACTTTTTAGAGGTCATTTTTTTGATTTTCCTCATAATATCCTGGACAAACTAGGATAAAACGTAAGAAAAAAGGAAAAATTTACGAAAATAGGCTTTTATTATTTTTCAGTTTTCTTATTTGTTGTAATTCAGTTAAAAATATTCGTATTGATTCGATAGATTTAAAATTTGGACAAAAATATTATAATTGCCTTTTCTACACGTGGTAAAATTTTCAAAAAATTTAAGCCATTTTTGAGATATTTATAGACATTTTAATTTTGAGAGTTTTGTACATAATATTTATTCGGTAGATACTCTGTGGAAAAATTGTTAGACTTGAAGAGAAATGCTTTAAAATTTAATAGGTTTATTAAGAGGCTTACTTTGTGGATAAAATAAAATTTCAAGTTAATGTATAATTTTTTTTTAATAAGAAATTAATATCAAATTTTGATGAAAAAATTATGTGGAACAAATCTAATTATAATTTTTTTTTTTTTTAATATATGTATATTACCTATTTAAGAACGATGATGAAGTCAGAATTAAGCTTACTGACTCCGCTCCGATTCAAAATTATAGCCTTTTGAAATTCTGATATTATGTGGAATGCGGATATTATATTTAATGTTAAATAACTCTATATTGTCCTTCTCAAAGCATATTTGTCGTGATTTAATGGTTATTTATACCTGTTATTATTTCAGGAGTTTTAAGTTCAAACCAGTGACGAAAATAACTGTTTGCATTTGTTTTCTCTTTTACCTAAACAAGGAAAAAACAAATGCATTTTGGATGTTTCTAGACACCTAAGCTATCGCTCCCTCGGACTATTTTAATCGCAAAATACCACTTGATTTGTTGTGCAAACTTTTCTACCAGAAGTCTTGCTCTGATGTATAAAGTTCAACTTATTTTCTGAAAGGAAATTTAATCTCCATGATAATTTATAGAAGTAATTTATTGATTTTTCAAGCGGTTTTCATAATATCTGGGAAAAACCGGGATAAAATACCGAAAAAACGAAAATGTATGAAATTTAGGTATTAGTAAAAAAAATATTATGGCATTTTTTTCTGTGTACAACTTTTCTACCAGCAATTTTGCTTCGATTTACAATGATTGCACTTTTTCTACACGGAAATCTGACTGAAGAGGTATTTTTAACAGGACATTTTTCGATTTTCTCAGGTTTTCCCAGCAAATGTGAAACACCGGGTAAAAACATGAAATAATCGGTATTATATTAAACAAATATTATTAAAGAAAATGTATAAATCGTATTTAATTATTTTACCTTAATATGACCTATATATTGTTGACAGAGCATCACTATCAACTGAACTGCCCTTAAAATAGTCTTTTCGTTAGCAATGGTTTATCGTTGTTTACAGATATACATTAAGTTACGTATAACTGTGGCTGTACCCGTTTCTATTATCCTAGGACGTCTTTTTTTTTTTCTATATTCTTAATGTACACGCAAAAACACATATTTTGGAAAAAAAAACTCGCGTGGTAGATAAACTAGATTCGTTCCAAATCGTAAATAATGTCGGAGGGGACTCGAAAGTAATACAAATAAATTTCAAAAAAAAAAAATTATTTATGAATTTCGACTGTTTGGTTTTAAATTTAATACGTACTTACCGACGAAGACACCGTGAAGTTGCGTAGTTTACCGCCGGGGGGACACTCATTTTTATTCTCGGCGAACAATTATTGTAAGTCGCGATGGCACAGTACCGATTGCGTAACGTTACGGTGATTTCATCGTAAAGAAAACTGAAAAAGGAAAACCGAACGTTAGAAAAAAAAAAAAAAAACAAAAACATCAGGTACAAAAATATTACGCACGCATACGAAAACTCCATTGTACCGACAGTTATACCCGATCGAAATTGTCGTAGAGACGCGCGCCTACGGATATTGGACATTTCGCCGCCACCGTGAAATCGCCTTAAATGATTATATTACGCTTACACTTCAAACGGGAATCCGCCAACACGGATTCAAATAGAGAATAGTTTTCTAAACATGCATAGTACCTACGACCTACCTAACATTAACATCGTGCGTCGGCAGGTACCTACTGTAGAGCGTAAAAAAAAAAAACGTATAAAATTTAGACCGGAGGAGTAGGAGAGGGTGGGAAAAAAATGTGCCACAGGATCGAACGCTTATAATAAATGATTGTAAATAAGAAATCAAATGAAAAGTCTGGCGTTTTTCGATTCGAACGGCGGCAAAATGGTACGGCGGCGCATCGGTCACGGCAAGACGGCCGACTACGCGCGCGCGATCAGTAACCGCGGCCCGCCGAAACAAAGACGATTCGGTTGGGTTAGGACCGTCATTATACTACGTCGGTCGCGGGCCCCGACCGGCCCGTGATCAGTGTGACCGATTACAAGTCGCGGACAGGATTTTTATTACCCGGCCGACTGAAGCATCCGGCAGGTATGCTTAATCCGCGGGTCTTCGCGAACGGCCGCGACCGCGGGTCCGACCCGCACCGCCCGCGCGTCGTTTGGTCCGCGTTACGCCCGTCTTCCTCCGGGAATCCACCGATGGATCTCGTCCGCGCGGAACACCGGTGATGGCCGAGACTTCGCTCCCCTCTGCCCCCCCCCCAGCCTGCTCGCGCATCATGCCGTCGTACGGTAAGTTTTCGACGGCCGCGGTCGCGAAAAGTCGCTATCGGGGTGTTCACCGTGCGCGCCGTACACACGTACAGCGCGTTGCGTTTTCGCAACAGTTTTCTTACAGCGTCTGTTTTGTCTTTTCGTACAACGCGTCGACCGTCCCGCGTGAGCGCATGTGTAATGTGTACGATGAATGCAGTGCCGCGGACCGTCGCGACAATCGTGCGTGTCAAGGCGTCGGCGTCGGCGGCCAACGGCGTCCGCGATTTAATACGACGTTTTCGGTGAGCGCCCGGGGCGACACAACATTATTGTTATCGTCCGTATTGGCAAATCGATCGAACGCAAAGATAAAACCGGATCGCTTGTTGTCTTCCGCCCGGCCGCACGTTACACAGGTAGGTATTACTAATCGTATCGACGGAATGTGTCCGCTTAAGAATCCCATCGAGAATGCAAAAAAAGAAAAAAAGGTCGGACGAAATTCGTTCGAAAATTATCGGGGAAAACTTACGAATTTTTTTTTTTTTTTTTTACATTCTTAATCTAGAGGCAAAAACACACATTTTGAAAAAAAAAAATAATAATAATTGTAAAATGTGTAAAAATGTGTTCTGTGTATATTATCAACTTTATTGTATAAAAAGAATGATTGGCAATGCAAGATAAGATTTGAAAACAAATAATAGCTTCATTCGTTCAACAAAAAGTGTGCACTTTTTTACATAGAATTTACATTTTTACTATATTTTTGATAAGGAATATATTACTCATACCGATCGCACCATCAAATATTATATTCTAACTAAGAAATAAGAATAATTTCGCATAAGAAATATGCGAAACGGAAAACCCAAACTTCATGGAGTTTTCCCCTATAACTTCCAAACGAAGTTCGTCTGACTTTTTTTTACATTTTTAATGTACACGCAAGTAAACACATTTTAAAAAAAAATCGGTAGGTTGCTAAACTAGAATTATGCCAAATTCAATTGCGTTACTTCGATCCACCTATGAGAAAAACTTCAATTCCCGAATTTGAGCTCATTCGGTCCAGAGGGGTCCGCTAAATTGTAGCGTAAAATAACAGACACAATATTGCAATGTTAAAACCATCATCTAAATAAAAAAATAATTCAATTACACGGTGTCACAAAACCAAAAACTCGAGAAACGATCAACATTTTTTTGAAAGTTGTAATCCGTAGTTTTTGCTAAAATGGTTTAAAGCAAATTGCCATTGATCTCAAACATCGATGATGTCATAACTTAGGTACAGGTAATGTTTGGAAAATGGCAACACAATTTATCAATGTTGTGATAGAATTAATATAAAAATGGGTTCGCTCTATATTGTTTCGTAATTTATCAATATGAAAATTTTAGGAGTGCTAATTTGGAAGTTGTGAGTTCTAGGCTAAATTATATTTACACTTCAGAGTTATAATATTCAGGGTGATCAATCTTCGACGAATCGCTCATTATCTCAGAAAGTTTTAATTTTCGTCGGAATCTTTTCATTTGTTTAATAAACAGCACTGAACTGCGACGTCCATCAGGAAACGTAGCAACTCTTAAATATTGTGCTCGATTCGAAACTTTAAAATGCGCTCTATGGACTCTAATTTACTGTGAAAACTCGAAAGTAAAAGAAAATAATCTTTCGCTTACAAAATGTGTACATTTAATTATAGATTGTATACAATCAAATAAGCGTTTTTTATTGTCTCATATCTCACGATTAGATTTCTCAAACTTTAAATTTGTTGTTAATTTATTTATTTTTAACGTAATATTTATAAGTATGATGCGTTTTTTTTGCGCCCTCCCAGGTATTACACCCAACGCCGCTCGCCCCCTCCCCACCCATACAGTTCTCACATCCATAACCAGATTCATAACTATTATTAGTACATATTCATAAATACTATAAATGTTGGTACATTTCACAATAATTGTAATGGGTCCATCCACTTCTCTGTATAGAATTTTCACGGATTTTACGATTATACATCTTAAAATATCAGGTTTTATCGTAAATTAATTAAATTTACTGTCGAGAGCTGAAATTTTCGCAGAATACTTATATTGATCTATTTTAGACATAGTAAAATTGTATCTAGTGTTTATTTTATAGGTATTATATAAACAAAAATGTTTGAAAATTGAACAGATGTGAACCTTACTATTCAATGCAGTATGAATAATATAGTTGTACATAGTGGTAAAAAAAAAAAATTTATAATAATTTATTAATTTTTTTTTATGTAAGAAAGTTTTAAGTTCAAATATTGACGAACGTTTCAACGGTATTTAAATAATCTAACTGCACTAATAATCATTTTTCGTTAGCAATGGCTAATATTATTGTTTACAGATATAAATTAAATATATTTATATATCCTACATTCCTAGCTTTCCATCTATGAATGTTACGCACCCATTAACAGTATCCGTTCTTTTCTCCCTGTTTGTTGACAACTTTTGTACTTACCAAAAATCTTACTCCAATCGTTAACATTGGCTTTTGGTGGAAATTTTGTTTTCTAACAAGAAAACATATAAGTTAAAAGGTTTTTTCGATTTTCCTTCAACTTTCGTAATAATTAAGAAAAAAAACGTAGGAATAACGGGGAAATGTAGGTATGCAATGACAATTTTTGTTATTTTAGATTCTGACTGTAGCGAGGAATGTATTGGTTTTACTATCTTTGAAAACTTTTTCTAGCAAAAATTTACTCCATTTAAAATATGACCTGAGACTGTTTGTGTTGAATTTTTTTATCTAGTTGGTACATTGAAGAGGTCATTTTTTTGATTTTCCAAGTAGTTATTATAATAATTGAGAAATACCGTAGAAGAAAAACAAACAAAAGTTGGAGCGTGATCGATTTCGTTATTTTAAATTTTTTCGATTTGGTTTAACGGCAGCTGGATATGGATACACTTTGTGTGTAGGATTCTTTAGTATCGATTAATGAATCATCCAATGATGGTTATTACTCTTGTTATTACTTATTCCTATTTATTATTTTAAAAATAATGTATATTATTCATCGGTACTGTTTTATTCAAATTAATACATTGCAATTGTGTAATTGTCATCGATTTTTCTATTATGAATTACTTTTTCGTATTTAATATCATATTGGCCTGTGCCTGAAAAAAAAAAAATTCACCTTTTAGTTTTATACCAAGTATCTAACCAAAAAAAATGCGAAGCTGGGCAGTGATTAGTTATAAAATTAAGATCTAAGTTATAGGTTACTTTTGTATTTTTTTTAAAACTTTTAACTTAACTTTAAAAAAAATAAATAGAATGTTAAAAAATTACAATAAAATAAATAATGTCGTTTTAATAATAATATTTTAGACCATGAACATTTTTTAATTCTAAATGTATAATAATAATAGTAATAATTATACATACTTGTAGTGCTTCAGTATTTATAGTATAAAATTCGATTTCATGTTGGTTGGATATTTTCAAAGCATTGAATTCTTCTATCAAATTATGTTTTATGATGGCATATCGACGTTGCGCTTCAGTCGTCTCTTTTTTCAATAAATTATTTCTGTCTTTTAAACTTTGGTAATTATTTTCTAAAGTTTCAGTTACATTTACTCCCTACAACAACAACAACAAAAAAAATAATAATAATATTCAACATATTTTAATATTATGATTCAATTTATTTGTATTAATTTCCTTGAAAATAAATGCATTTTATTATGTTGAATTATACACACGTAACACAACAGGTTTTTGGTGCACTAAAATAAATTGTTATGGGTAATGATGATATTATATTTTCGATTAAAATATTTATACATATAAAAATACTTTTCTTAACTGATTGACTGACTTATCTACTAACGCACTAAATTGCTGAGATTATTATCCCTATGGACGATTAAGAAAGAGTTACAATTTTTACAGTGAAACCTTAGAACTTTTAGGAGTTTTAATCTAGAGTGACCATTATTGTGTAGATAGATCGTTATGACTTACCCAAACTCCTAAATTTTCAAAAATGTGTAGCTCCTAGAGGATTCAAATTTTCGTTAAAAATTGGCTAAGCCGTGTAATGGGGCATAATAAATTAATTTTTGTTGTATAAATGTTAAATGAACCTAGCGAAACTTAATATATGTCGTTGAGTACATATAGTATGTACCTTAGTGTATTTGTTTAAGATAAATAGTATCGTCTTGTCAATTTGAGGTTAACCACGATTATAGATACTATGGTTGCTTGCCCAATGAACTATGGCGGGATCGTCAAAAAGTGTCTATCCAATTGAATCGCGTGAATCCCACACATTTGATACCAACATGTACGTCATTTGTTAACTCGAAATTCTCTCACAATATCACATGAGCATTAGCATTTAAGCATCCGATCCACTGAAGTGACTTTAGTGGTCAAGTTTTAGGTCATTGGGCAACCCTATAATCTCTATAATCGTGTTGACGACGAATGCTTGTTACTACCGACAGTATATATTTAGAAAAAACTATGACTAAAATGTTTAGATAACAATAATAACCGTCGATTATGACGTAATAATATTGAAAGTTATGAACAATATGAGTTACATTCATTAAACTATACACACATGTAAATTGAACACTAACTGAAAAAATAAAATGTCCGTGAACTCGTGAACTAGATACGATATTAGGCACATAACGTAATTTATAACGTTATTTATCAATATATTTAGGTATTTGATTTTTTTGTACGATTTAAATTATTGTTGAACAATAATGTCATGTAAATCACCTAAAAGTAATAAGGAACAAATAAAGTCCTAAAATTGATAAGGAAAACATCTATATTGACAAAGTAATTAATAATACAATTAGACACGAAACGTAAAAGATTTCAAAAAATATATTTTTCCAAGAACAATTACATACTATGATTTATCAATTTTCGATTTTTTTTTATTTTTCAAAAAATAAGATTCGATGGTATTTTTAAAAATACCAAATAATGATACGCTTGCGAAAAAAAATGTATATTCATCCTACTGCACACGGGCATACTACATCTATAGTACTAAAGTACTAAATTATTAAACAGATCACAGCGTTATTTAATTTTTGAAAATTGATAAAAACAATCATCATTGAGTCTATTATATCTTATGTATATGTACCTATCGATAATATTGAAATAAAGATACAAATAGATATAAGTACGATATATGAAAGACAGAGACAGGCAAATCCGATTTATAAGATGTTACATAATTATTATAAACGCCATTATTTACGGTTATTTCTTTTCTGGTATTATACATTTGACAGTCTTCGGAAATCTGTTTATAAGCTTCTATAGTCGATCTGGCATCATCTCGAATTCTGACCAACAGTTCAGCTCGATCTAAGTTAATCAAGGCTACTTGTCGTATCAATTCGTCTAATAACATAAGGCAACATTTAAATATGCTTAATTTAAACCTAATCGACATTTTTAATAAAACAATTAACTACCGAATAACAATTTCTCCTAAATCCCGAAATTATCGCGTTGCAAATTCTAAACCAAATGTTCAGCTAAGTCAGACAAAACAGTAGGAATCGTGTTTGACGGATTTAAATTTTGATAACAGATGATACTTTACTAGGACGTGTTGGAAATAGAGATTCAATTATTTTTTAATGGAAATCGTATGAAAAATTTTCAAAAATATAGTTGAAGTATTTTGTTTTACTTTTGATGAAGAAAATTGAAATTTTTTTTGTAAAGAATTGAATAAAAATCATATTACGTTTTCAAAATTGAAATCCGTTAAACGCGATTTCTATAGTTTTATCTGGCTTTTTGATCTAAAACATCGTATTTGTACCCCTACCTCTTAAAAACGGGTATCGGGTAGTAGATTGGTGGAAACGTTTTATTCTTGTGGTTGTCATCCGAGTGATCATTAATATAATAATAAATGTTTCACAAAAAAAGAGATAATTTAGAAAACCGTCACCGATATCATTAAAATATAAAATCGATGGAAAATCCTCCGTCGTAGATATAGGTATATTTCTATAGATATTCATTAAAGCTGGTGAGAGGAAGGAGTTTAGTTAAGAAGGAACGTTCATTCGCAGATGTAGTGACAGAGAATGTTGATAATATAACCAACAGCCTGTGAATTGTAGGTTGTAATAGTTTAAAAAGGTCATTTTTTTGATTTTCCCAGGGGTTTTCATAATAAAATAAAAAAACGATTGAAACGAGAGAATTTACGAAATGTACTATTTTCAAATCGTAAATATTACGGCCTTTCAAAACATGTATAACCGAACTCCACTTAGAATCGTTTTTCGTTAGCAATGATTAATCGTTGCATACAGATATACATTAAATTTTATCTCTACCTTTCCAATTTCTTACCAACAACAGAGGCCCACCCATCGTGCGAAGTATGTGTGTTCTTTTTACCTTTTTTAACGACCACTTTAATGAAAAGATTTGTCCACTAATCTAGTGTCTGATATCCATTTAAGGGGAAATGATACGGCCATTTTTACGGACGAATATAATATAACGTTTTAGACTAATAAGCGGTGGAAAACTAGACAAATTGCCCAATGTTCTATTTGAATTCGTCGAAAATTAATATTTATTGATGAACTTTCTCGGTTATTTAATTTAAAAACTATATTAGTTAAACATTTTCTTACATTTTTTTTTTAGATTTAGAATTCAGTGTATCTAAAATAATAATAAAATAAAATGGTTATTTCACGGAATTTTCAAGAAAATCTCTTTTCATAAGTTTCATAATTTCATAAGTTTCAAAACTGAAAATTTAAAATCAAATTCTGTTATAGGCACATATACTATATTGTATTACAAAAATTAAAATCAGACATAGGAAAGTATTGGTAATTTTCCAGTGGTAATTGGTTTAATACTTATGATGAATAGGCGAGGTCCAACCCCCTTAGCGCCAGTATAATATATGGTGTGCATAGTCAGTGCATCCAACTCAATTGGATTTTCTTAATCTCTTATGTATCTTCTAAATGCAATATCTTTGTCAGCAAACTGCATAAAATTGATAAGTTTAAATATTTTATTGATATTAACAATATTTGAGGTAGGTATAGAGAATTGAATAAAAAAAACGTAAATCAATTCAGTGCCACGATAGATTTGTGAACAAATTACATTGTACACTAATTTATAACATTATCATTTGTATGTTAAATGATACATTCTAAAATAAAATCGTAGTTTATGGGTCAGCTAAGGGTTGTCTATTCACCACTTAATTTTAAGTAAAACCTTAAGGCTCAGGTCAACATTAAAAGTAACTGTGCAACACAATTTTATGGGAACCTGCTTAGGTGACACTTAAACGACTATGGATACCGGTAATTAAATTATTAAATTAGACAATTTTCATTATCATATGTCACGAACTGAAACACTGTGAGTACAATTCTCTTCTGATTCGACACAACCCTTGGGAACTGGCTTGCCAGTACGACATATGAAACATAAGATCTCTATTAAGGGTCAAAACATCCTCTCTGGTCGCGGGTTTCAAAGAAGCGAGTCGGCGCCACGTTTTACCGTCTTCTTCCCATTCCTCCGGTGGAAAAATGCAATTGAATATGTCTTCATATTCTGGCGGATAACCACTGAGGCCAATGTTGTCGCCTTCGGCCTGTGACGACATTATAATAATATTGTACAATGTATTATTTGCACCGATATATAATTAAATATAACATAAGGTCCATGTTACTATAGTTTATGTTTTTAAATTCTGAGTAGAGCAAGGAATGTATTAGTTTTACAATGATGTTTATTTTTTTTCTGTTGACAACTTTTCTACCAGCAATTTTGATCCGATTTATAATAATAGCCCTTTTTATAAAGGAAAATCTGACTAGGGTGATACTTTAGGGAGATTATTTTTTGATTTTCCCAATTAATGGGAAAAACCCGGGAAAAAACACGGGAAAACTTAGGAAAATAGGTACAATATTAAACAAATATTATTAAAGAAAATGTTTGATGTATATGTAATTATTTAGCACAATATGACATATATATTGTTTACAAAGCAACAATATTAACCAAACTTCGCTCAGAATCGTTTTTTCGTTAGCAATAATGCTTATTCTTTGCACACAGATATCATTACATTTTCCTTCAAATACCTTCCTAACTTTTCACTTACAACAGTGGCACACCAACGTGCGAAGTCTTTTTAATATTTGAAAATAGCGAGAAAAGTATTGGTTTTACTATACGTGATGCGCGATTTTTAATTAATTTTTTTTTTGCTATATATAGTATCCTTTTTCTTCCAGAAATGATACTCCAATAAAAAAAAAACGACGAAAGCTTTTTTTGTAACATTTTGGATCTATTTGGTGGATTAAGGAGGACATTTTTTGATTTTCTTTGCAATTTTCCAAATTGTTTGGAAATACTTAGGAAAAACGGAAAAGTTTACGGTAGTAACGATTCCATTATTTTTCCGTTGTAATATTCGGTCACGAATAATTATAGTGGCCTGTAGAGCCTTTTCTATAGAAATTGTAAATGTATTCAAAGCATTCTGGCGATTTCTAAATGGTACATAGATACCATTTTCGAGATTTTTAAATCTTATTTCGATAAAATTGTTTTGGCCGAAAAGAAACGCTTGGAAATCTAATAATACGAGATTCGTTATAAGTTGTGCTCAGCGATAAAAGAACAAAAAATAGTTTAGTGTAGTTTAGTAGATACTTAGTATTTATTTTATAAGCTTTTTTAAGTTTCGTAGTTCTTCTTTAATTTTATTTTTCCGATTCGAGCATTGATTAAATTATAAATTATAATTTATATCAGACACAATACAACATATACGACTCGACGATAAGACATGATGTAAACTCTATTTTCGAGGAAAATTTGATAATAAAAAAAAAACGCATCCAATTAATTCAATATAAAACGAATATTTATTTTAACGACTTATTACAAAAGCAAACGCGAGCATGTATTATATTTTTTTTTGCTCATGTTCGCCCATGAATCCAACCATAGTAACAGAAAATATATGGGTCCACGTAATTTGAACGGGCCGCGTATTTCGCAGATGTAACAATATTTTTGGCCGATATAGATGCGAGCGCGTTTAAAACACCGCTCGCTTCGCCCACTAACTCACTAGCTCATTATATCGAAATTTTAAGCGAAATTAAACAGTAATTCGTTAGGAAAACAATGTCGGGTAGGTGACTGGTGGGGAGGGGTGGTGCAAACAATTTAAACAAAAAGGTCGGAGTCCTAACCTCTGAGAAGCAATGTGGTAACCCACTGAGACACCACGAGTGCTTAACGATTCTACCAATAAGATTACCTATTTAACAACACATTTATGTACCGGATGAAACACAACAAGCGACTGTTCTGAGTGAATATACTTGACTGGATCGACCCACTATACGCGCGGTAAACACCTAATACCCGGAAAACCGTACACAGCGTACACAAGAATTCTCTATTCAACCGAAGGGTTTTGAATAAACAACCACAAATAGTGCGTGTAGTATTAGTCTAGTCAAAATAGACATTTAACTTCGGAATAACTCGCATAGAGCTGGAAATCGGTACAGACCTAATAAATACAGCAATATAAACGAAAAGTCAAAACTTCCAATCAGCTCTATACTCCGGCTAAACATTTTATTAAAGGTCTAAGGTAACATATTAACATATTACATTGGTTTTATACTATAATATGTTTTGATTTATTTTTCCTTTTGTATCCTCCTCGTATTTATATCAAAAATCTTTCTTCGATCTTCAAGCATAGTACCAATTTTGAAAGGAATTGTTGTCTATAGTTAGTGTAAGTGAGGAGTTCATTATTTTATTTTATTTTTAATTTTGATTTACAAGTAATACATTTTTTCCCCTGTAATATGTGATTTTGTTTTTCTTTGTTATAACTTTGTTAAAAATGATCGTAGAAAGCCAACATTTTCACTGTATACTTGTATTGGCCATAATGAAAGATCTAGTGGAGGAGGGGCCGATTAATTAATTATTTGAAACTTATTTGAGTAATAGGGGGCCCTGCCCCCAGTTCTCTTTGCTCATCAGCCCCCGTATTTTGTACTATAAGATTTCGTAAATAAAAGATAAAAATTATTTTTATATTTTCATAGAGGGACCATTTAGTACAGATTTTCAAAACAAGTTCTTGTGTAAAAAAAAATTATAATCTCATGATTTTTATTGAGACATATCACCCTTTCATTTTAAATATCGTTTTCACATTGCATTAAAAATGTAGTTTTGAAATAATTGGAATCTATACTTATTGAGGGCTTATTACGATTATTATGCCATATAGTAAATAATTCTTTATGACTGCGGTTTTTCTGGCTTTTATGCAAACTAATTTATCTATTCTATTAACTGACAATAAGATGATTTATCAAAGGTGGTTATAACAGTATAAGGATATATGTATAATGTTCTCTGATTCATGGATTATACAATGAAGTTAGGAAAATCTACTTTATGAACATGTAAACTTTCTGGTTTCTAAATGTAGGTATTTTAATTAATATACTCATTATTTTTATTTCAAACGAATTTGGTAACTTATATTATATTGCGTGTGGAAACTTAAATAAACTAAATATCTTAATTTGTGAATAGCTGACTAGATATTTTTAAAATTTTTAAGGTACTTATATATCTTGATATGCATTTTCAATTCTGAGTGCAGCAATGAAACTATAAATTAGTTTTACTATGATGTGACTTTTTTTTGTCTGTGAACAATTTTCTACTAGTTATCTTGCTCTAATTAAAAATAAACTTTTTTTTGTTCAATTTTGGATCTAGTTATTGGGGGAGTCGTTGATTTTTTAAAGTGGTTAATCATAATAATTGAAAGAAAAACCGTGTAGGAAAAATGAACAAATATTTTACGAAGCGCTGTGACATAAACGATTTTATTATTTTAAATAGGTTTTTTTTAACAGAAATCTTACACCGAAATTCAAGTACAACGTTTTTACTAAAAGAAAATGTTGTCTTGTTGGTGTAAAGGTAGTCGTTTTTTTATACTCAGAGTAGTTATTTTAATATGTGAATAAAGTTGTTTAACCAGACAGAAAATTGAATACAGGTTTGATTATAAATTGTATTTGATAGTAATCTTATAATAATTTTATAAGATTTATTTAGTTCAAATTTTGACGAAAATCGTAAATATCACGGTATTAAAAAACAAGTTTACTGAATTATTATCAGTTATCAATGTCAGTTATAGTATCGCTCAGTACCGAGTTATTGACGCATACAGATAATATAAAATAAATAACAACGTAAATATATCCTGTATCTTTCAAATTTCTCACCTAAAACAGTGGTACATTCATCAGCAAAAATCACATTTTTTTATTTTTTAGGTTCGAAGTGTAACTAGGGATCTATTGGTTTTACTATGATGTGTGTTTTGAATTATTTATTTTATTTTTTGTATTTTTTATATTAGACTAAACAAAAATACTGGCAAATTTAACGGGAAGTTCATTTAAAAGTTGTATTTAATGTTCAAAAAAAATTTAGTGTAATATGTAGTATCGAATTTTGACGAAAATCGTAAATATTACGGCCATTCAAAACATATTGTGTAACCGAACTTCGCTCTGAATCGTATTTCATATGCAATGGTTTATCATTGCTAAAATACATGCCATCATCACGCATCGTTATTTACGAATTTTCATCACGCCACTCTTGTTATACGCTCAAATTTGTAGACGCGGTTAAATTTCATTTTATTTTTATCGTAAATATTACAGTAATACTGCGGTATATTAAAATACATCAGTTACGGGGCCGCCCCTACGTCATATTAATAATTTTACTCTCTGATTCGGATACGAGATCCGACGGCCGAAAATTAATACCTTCATAGATAGGATTTATACGAGATCTCAAGTTTTTTTTTTTTATTATAATTATAAATTTCATCCCATCCCCGGGCCGAGTGACGTGAACGTCGTCGCCGCCGCCGTCGAGTTTAAGAAAAAAATAATAAGACGTGACACGCGGCCGCGGTAATCCTACGCGATCGCCGCTGAAGCCGCCGTCCTTTGAGATCTTCCCCTCGCATAATAATATATGGAAACGTAATCTTTAACGTTCAGTCCCATCGTATATCGTATGACGGAGGGGGGTGGGGTGGGGGGGAGAAAAAAATCTACCGTGATTCCCGGCTAAACGCGAACAAGTTTTACACACGACGGAATTTAATATTATAATAATAATGAACACGTGTACTACAGGTATAGACAAACACGAATATACATATATACACGGGTATTATAGTATTTTAATACGCGACGAACGTATTTATGTACTTCGTATTTGAAGATTTTAATTTTTATTGCTGTACGCCGCCCCGCGTACGGTCTCTATACTGCAGGTACAAAATAATGCTTTCACTTATCTTGATAAAAATACATCCTCCATTCTCCCCCATCCCGTTTGAAATATTAACTTTGATACGTCGTATACGGGACGAAGTACCTACCTATACCTTACTTATTTTTGTAACGTGCCAACATTATTCGTTCTTTTTTACTATGTATATTTATACCATGTGTGTGTATGTACGTTTTATCTGTTATGATACAATGCGTTACTCAAAACGCGGGGCGAATACGAATATATTATTATTACATTGGTGTGTATATAATTTATACACGAACTTAAACATTGTTTGGTTGTCGTTGTTGTTGTTTTTTTTTTTAAATAAATTATACCCAAAAAATACCCTTTTACTCAGTGTAGACGGTGTAGTCCATGCAACCCTATAAACGCGTGATTTTATTTTTTATTTTATTACGAAGATAATCTGTTAGGTACTCGTCAATTGTACAATAATTTATTATAACAATAAAAGTTGTTTTTTTTCCGTTTTTTTTTTTTTTTTAATCTCAAAAAATACTTTTTATAGGAGTGCTTTGCGTGGTTAATATTTAAATTTCAATTTATTCGGAGGAAAACTACCGGAAAGGCAGAATGTTAACGAAACAAATGCTTGCCCATCATGCTTCACCGTTTTCCCATTGCAACAGTCTATAGTCATAAATTATATAAATACAATTAATTACGTATAATAATCACGAATTTCCACCTATAACAGTGGTCTACCTGTGGTAAGCACATAGTACCAACTCTTTTTCCTTCAAATTGTAGTATTGAAATCCTGTACCGGGTACATATCTATAGGAATCAATTTTTCCGAAAAAAAAAAATGATTTTCACGGGGTTTTTAAAATGTTTTTTTTTATTATTATTTGAAAACTTCGGGGTTTTCGGGAAATACATTGTTTCAGTATTCTCCAATTTTCCATATTTTTGGGGGCTCTAGGAAAAAAGAACGGTTTTTTTCCCCCGGAAGTTTTCAATTAAATTTCCGGCCCTTTGATTCCTACCAATTTAAACACGTATTATAACTGCTGTGTTCAGTTTCGTCTCCTTAAATTAATTTGATGTTATTTATATGACATACATTAATTTACCAATATTATTATCAAATATATTTCTCTCGTACCTTGGAATTGTCTTCGATTTTTGACCCGTCTTTTATTATTATCGGTGGGCTACATTTTACAAGTCTTACGTTGAACACCTCTTGTTCGGGAACTGCATCCTTAAACTCCATTATTTTTGACATAATGCAAATATTATAACCAAAGACGATGACAATAAACGTATTCAGTTGTAGTTTTCGACCTAGTTTAAATAAAAGTCAAAATAATGAAAATATCCATTACGACAATAGAAATACTATCTATCGGAATAATATTTTAACACATTAAAAATAATGTTTGGCGTTTTCTATAGCGATTCATTGTTTACATTACATAGTTATAGCAATTATAACAATTCATTATTATTGTGATGTATTAATGAAATAAAACTACGAGATTAGGAACATAATGCATATAGCCATATGATTACAGAATTAATTATTTACGATTAAAATTTAAAAATGCGTCGTAATCTGGAGTCTATGAATTTTGAATTTGTTTAAACATTCAGTTACCATAATTTTCGACGACATTTAATGCCAAAACGTCCAATATTTTATTACAGATGTATTTCTGATTTATACTCGCATGCGCTGTCTCAGTCTTACAAACGTACGGCACATGGTATACTAGCATTCAGCAGGGACAACTTTATGCTATTGATTGTAATATTATAATGAATAGACCTGTTATCAAACTCAAAGATAAGAACATTATATGTGCAACGTTGGTGCAATTTTTTTTTTTTGTTATTTTAATGTTTAAAAGCGATCTGAATATTTTATTATGTGAAATATCACAATTTAATAATGTTTATTATATCACTCGAAAATTAAAATATCAAAAAAATAGCACCATTGTCACACAGTTTATGTTCTTATCTATAAGTCTAATAATAGGTCAACTGACTATAATGTTAATATTAAAACTAACAGCATTAAATTGTTTCTACTGAACGCAAATTTGTTATGTTATACGTTTGCAAGAAGACAGTATATGCGGGTTTAAGTGTTTAACGTATTCCTAGGTTATTTTTAATTGGGGATATATCACATTATTTCATATTTTGGTTCACACACTTCGATGGGATTAAGATAATCTAACAAAAAAAAATAATCTCTCGTTATTCGATTGTCGAAAATCGATTACAGGTGGAAAATTACAACAATATGAAAATGGAGTCATCGAGATTTTCAGCTGCGTAAAGTGTCGGATCGATCGCTCCGCAAATTCGCAGTGATAGTACATCGAAAATTTGACACGACTACCCAGTATCCAGTATATATATATGTTTTGAATATTTAAATTCGGTCGTTTTGGCTTCTGATACGAAAAAAAACGCCTTTTTTTTCTTTCACTAACATACATTATACTTTGCAATATAGGGGCGTACTCTGGTACGACGATGTGGGGAAATTGCAATCGATTTTTATAAATAAACGACGACGTCTATAAATTTGAAACCAACAGCGGAACATGACCGGGGCTGTGGAGGATGCGATATCTTTGGACGATGTCATTGCCGCGCCGCCTGCAAAATAATATTATGGAACTGCAAATGTAAGGGGGGGGGGGCGGGTGTTTCTTCCTTCCGTTGTAGACGCATAGAGAGAGAGGGGGGAAGTGAAGGGTTTACTACCAACAATGCTAACAAGAAACCGCGGCTTCGAAGCCCTTTCGGGCCCCCGTCTTGTAATAATTCTCTGTGTGTGTACGCGTGTATTTATAATATTACTATGTTTACTATTTCGTAAGTTAATAAAATAATAATTATATTACGCGCTCAAACGGTTGCAGCGACGCGACGCGACTGTAGCTGCAATCTCGTTTGATTAACACGTTTTGTGATATTCGAATAAGTTTTTTTTTTTTTTTAATCACATATATATTATATTTGTAAGAATTTATGCGTCACAAACAGGAAAATTATTGCTCAGATTCTTCTGTAATTTCAACCAAAAATGGTTTATCGATTTTCGTCATGATTAATATAGGATCGTTAATCTGCGTCGAAATTAAATGACACTATTAAGATAAAAAAAAAAAAAATAAAAAAATAATAATATTAATAATACATAAATAAACATCATTTTAAAACCAACTCTCGCTACATTCCGAATCCAAAAAAAAATGTGTTCACATAAAATGGGCGCTAAAGGCCCCGCAGTGCTAAAATATGATTGCATGTTTGCATTTTTATGTGAATTTAAGTACGTTTAAACTTTCGTTTATGCTGAACGTCGATATTTGTCACATATAAATCCCACACGCATTACGGTTCGGAATGGCATCCGGCGGACTCGCCGTGTTAAAAATCGAGCTTCGACAGATATTAAAAATTAAAACCGTCGTGTTTCTTTTTGACCGTACGCTTCAGTTTTGGCACCATGACATGTCTCGTAGTTGTGTACGAAGGGGGGCGAAGGGAAGGAGCTTGCAAGTTCCGTCGTCGTCTCGCGCGTGAAATTATTTTCGGCCGCCGCGACGGAACCGCTGCGACGATAGCTGTCGAGCTGACTCGAAACGGTGTACGATATTATATTTTAGAGACACGACGCACTTAAATTGGGTCCCGCGTTATTGCGTGTGCGAAATAACGTGTAATTGTATTATATATATTACAGTGTATACTATATGTACATCCGCCACTATTTAGAAAAACTGTTATATATTCGAAGCTACTGGTAGTAAGACCTGTGCTCCATCGTCCTCTGCTTCCAGGTCGAAAAAAAAATAACAAATATAATATCGCGTAAGAACGTTTACTAGCCTTATCCCACCATCATATCCCTCTCGATTATTAAGAAAACTACAAGGGAGAAAAAATCACTTTCCTGATGCACCAACTAGGCAAGACTAGGCTACCGGAAACCACCTTCCTGAAGTCGCAGCGAGATTGTTTGGAGAGAAGTTGTGAACAGATATAAAAATTAAAAAAAAATTAAATCATACATCATAGTAAAACATTGTTCGGCGTGCAATGCGCCGTGCTCAGAATCTATCAAATTACAAATCGAGGTCATAACTAAACAGGTACCTATATCTAAACCTAATTAAAAGTCCCTAAAAATTATTCTGTATCCATAATACTCTGTAAATTGAATAAAACGAATAGACAATTTAAAACAAATTTATAGAACAACAAATGTCTACGAAATAAAACTGAAACCAAACGAATCCTAATAGTTGTAGGTGTATTTATCAAATACATTAATTTATTATTAATCATAGACAATAAATTACGGTATTTTGATTATTTAACAAGATAGATATTTTTTCGTGATAATTATTAAAACCGAGTAAACTCGGTTGACATTTTTTAAATATTAGTATTAGCAAAGTGAACACTTGAGACGTATTTATATAAAACAATTTATATATAAAAAAGAAAAATTAAAAATGACATTTTAATATTTATAGCTTGTTTACACGGGACGAGTACTCGACCGTGGAACTCGTTTTGCTACTTGGCCGAGCACCGTTATTGCAGTTTGAGTTATCGTCTATACGCGTTTTATTCGATGAGTCGAGCGATTACCCCTAATACTAAGATTAGGAGCGGTCAAACGGGAGGCGGGGTGGGGTAGAAGAAGATATATACCACCCGAGACCTTTTTCGGAAACATACGATGGCGTTGGAAAAAGGAGAATCAATTAAAAAATATTCGACATTACTATAATATACATGACATATTCTTCGTATTTTCTCATTTATAAGGAATTCTTCAATATTTCTGATAATATATATTATTATAAGTATCACATATACATTTATGTAGAAAAAAAAAAATGTAAATACAAATAATTGTTAAAAGCCTTATCCCCCTTGCCCCACGCCCATGGCACAATCATTTGGCTGCCACTGACTAAGTTGTACAGAATTCGGCGTATCTAAACTACCAGATGAGAGTTGAAAAGCGAGTAGTGTTGTAATACTAAGCCTGTAATACGGCCTAGTGAATAGAAACGGTTTCTATTCATTCGTTCGTCATTTCACTCGACCGATCACCAGGTCGAGTACAGTACCTTGTGTCTAGATTAGTCGAGTACTCGACTGAGATCACTGTCTCGGCCAAGCGCTCATCCCGTGTAAACAAAGCATTATAGTGTACTGCACCAATGGATATATAGTCGTGGTTAATAGATGGCGCTATAGTAACCGATCAACGACAAATATGCAATATCTAGTAGGTACTCGTAATTTATTATAATAATTTTAACGTTTTATTTCTTTTTCTTCTGTCCGAGTATGTACATACTACATAACTACATTTATATAATATACAATTAGACATTTATATGGAAATATAGCACTATTCATTTATTTTTTCTACGACCATTTTAACTTTTTTATTAGCTTTGTTCACCGCAACCCCGTAAACATGACAAGTAAATTAAATAAACTTATATTCTTATAATCGCGCAATAACAAAATATATAAAATAAGAAATGTATGTACCCTCCCTTGGGTTTTAAATTCCGTCTGAAACGTAGGTATATGAAAACGTGACTAAAAATCAACGTTTATTTTTTTTAATTATACCGTTGATCCCCTCCACCGGATAAAAGTCTGCGGATAGAAATGTTGATTGCAACACGTTTTACTATAATGACAGTTTTTCTTCAAAACAGAAACAAATTTTATGCACAACTTCTGACAAAACGTCAAGAAAATAATGGTTAGAATTTTAATTTTAATATTCACACGCTGTGTTTTACGAATAAAAACCGACTTTTCGTATCTATACGTATATTCCAATGTAAAGCGTCCTTGAACTGATTTAAATGCACGATAAAATCAAGGAACAAAATTATAGGGGATTCCCCCCAAATTCAATACAGTGAATACCTATGCAATCATTATTTTTATCGCGAAACGTTGCACGGACTACGTAGTACACAAATTGTTACATAATGTAATCTAATAGACACTTGTTGATTTTGTATTATTTACGTGTAGGTAATGATACGTTTTATTGTAAAAACGCCTCCTGTTAAGCGCTACTAATAAATAATTCCAATACGACGTGTATGCGTATGTATAATATTAATGTAATTATAATATTACTGTATACAAACATATGCGATATACTAACAATAGATGTGTTTTGCTTGTTTATTGAGTGCTGAAAAGGAAAACCAATTAAACCTAAAAGTAAATAACAAAAAAAAAAAAAAAAAACCAAAAAATGATGTAAATTATATCAGTTACAATAAATCCTTTGACTTATAGATATAGTTTTAAATAATACGAAATATTAATTCCGCTATCGAATGTTTACGGCGTACGCGTTTGTAAAATGTGTGTGTTTTTAATGGTATCAGACCGCGATAAAAGTTCATTAGCCGTCTGCATAGTTGTTTTCTATACGATATAATATTTGCATATACTTTTAGATTCGGAGCGTATAGCGACAGGTATTTATTGGTTTTAATATTGTGTGTGCTGTTTTTTTTTCTGTCTGTAAACAACATTTCTACCAGAAATATTGAACCAATCGAAAAATGACGAAAGATCAATTTTGTTCCTTTTAATACACATACCCACTGCCACAGAAAGTCGATGTTTTGTATCCGAAGCAGTTTTCATAACAATTGGGAAAAACTAAAAAAGCCGAAAAATACAAATTTTTTTTTCAGATTACGCAACGATTTCATTATTTAAAATTTTTAAGATTATATTTTTCTACCAGAAATTTTTGTCCAAACTTCGAGAATAGCGTATTTTCTGAAAGAAAATTTAGTTTAGTTTCTGAGGAAGAAAGTCGTTGTTTGATTTTCCGTACAGTTTTCTTAATAATAACGCGATAAACCGGGAAAAAAACGTAGGAAATACGGAAAATTATATGGCATTTCGGTTTTTTGTTTTTATTTGGGTAAAAAGTTTTAAAAAGTATTTTTATTGGCTTTTTGTATACGTGGTAAAATGTTCAAAACATTTAATTATTTTTAGGCTATTTATAGGTATTCAACTATTATTAAAATTATAAAACTTAAGAATAATGCTTGAAAATTTAACACACGGTACATTATAAGTTATCTCATACTCCGTGATTTAGAAATCAAATTTTCGATTTCATTATTTTAAATTTTTACGACTTGTTTTCTACTATTAATATTGCTCCATTTGAATTATGACGAAAGATAATTTTTGTTTAATTTTTATTCTAATTGAGTATTTTTTTTTTTTTAAATCCAGGGTCATAATGTGTAAAAAAAAAAAAATTAAATATTTAAACAAATATGTTAAAAATTATATTGCATTTAAAATAACATGTTCCCCGCTCCTAAAACAAACTACGAAAAATCCATTTATGATCATTAAGTATTATTGAATTTTTTTCTAAGTCAACTATTAGAAAGCTTAAAATTGTGTAATATACTTGAATTCCGAAAAAAAAAATATTACCTGTTTTAATGGTCAGGGTCGAAACGAACCATAGCGCGTCAGTTCCTCTGCCCGAGAAAATTTTGTTTGCATCCCAAAATAATTAAGGTTTAGTTTCGGAAATAATATTATAATATATTACGTAACAATAATAATAATATTTTGTTATCAAATTTTCTACTCCTGGACGTGCTATTTTATATTATAACCAGAAACCCGTATATGGCTTTTATACCTATTGATATAATCATTATAATAAAGAAAATATTTAGTAATAATAATAACATTAACAATTATGCATAATATAATATTTTGAATTTCAAACATTTCCCATAATTTGTGTTTACAAATATTTCACTCGTCTTATTATGACAAAGGTATGTCACATCAAGGATGATAGCTGGTCATATCTGCAGAACCTGCAGTGCCCTCCGTAATATCTTCTTTGATTTCCTTATGCCCAGGATTTTGTTTTTGACAGAATTCTCTTCCGTATCACCTAACCTTATATTGCTTTAGATATTTTCAACCGCAGTTATCGTACGTCTCTCGGTATTCAACTTCTCATTAGTACTGACCACTGCAGGCTATTTCCATATCACCACCATATTCCATTACCACCCAAACAATAATAATTAGGTCATCTTTATTAATAACCTGAAGCTTTAAACTGTTGGTAGGTATACTATACGAATTTCGATTATATTGCAATTAACTTATATAGATGATTAGGGCCCGGATTTAAATGCACTAAACTGCTCTAAAAAAAAATTAAAATTGCCTTTAAAAAATGAATTTTACCGCGAAAATACCATTAACAAATAAGGTATAATTTTTTTTTAAATTTATTGTTGTATTGGGTAATTTATAATATTTGTATTTTATTTGAAAAAAAAAAAAAACAGAAAATTGAAAAATTTGACTTGTGATTAGCGCTGATAATATTGTTGAAAAAAAGATGTATTTTATATTTAAATCCGGGCCCTATAGATAATGTAGGTAAAGATAGTTTATTGATCCGTCAAATATCCCTCAAAACTCGTAATTTTCTACCGGAAATCTTGTTCCAATTAAAAACTTTACGGAAACTTTTTTGTAATATTTTTGATCTTATTGAGAACATTGGATTTTGATTTGCATGAATATAAATATTCGAAAGTTATAATTTTACTTTTGATAATTCTAACTGATAAGTGCTAACAATAACAATAACACATTTTGCAGTAGATATGGCCACTTTAAAAATATATTGATTTCGTCGTTAATCTTCGGTTAGTTAACATGTACGAAAAAATAAACTGACAAATCGCATTCCTATTATTTAACCGGAACTTCAATTGACAAATTAAATTAACTGGTAGTCAATTAACTGATGGTTATAATGACAATTGAAGGGCTCAGTACAACAAGGCAAGTCCACATTTCGAAATTGTTTCGAAGAAAGAAAAAACACATATCTATCTAAGAAACTTTTTTTTTATTCAGAATTTAGTTGAACGAGACAAGTCTTTATTATAGGTTTGCTATTTTTCACATATTTAGTATACGGATCTGCATAGGTAATTGTTTTACAATATTATGTAATATTTATTGCTTTACTCGAAACTATCGAAAAATTATTTTTGGATTAAACCTAATTAGGTTATTAAATATTAAATAGGTACCTATTTAGAAATCCCTTTGGTTATCCGTACTGGAATCTGATATTATAGGATGTATAAATATATATATAGATGAAAGCGTATTATTATTTATTTTATTTCAATAGCACGGTTCGTATATTCCTTTACTTAGGCTGTCTCGAGCAGAGGTCGTTTACAGAGCTTATAAAAGAACAAAGGTTATATAATATTATAATAACGGCGTTTGTTGTCATATATTGTTTTTTTTTTTTTTTATAGGTAAAAATGTGTAAATATTACCGTTCGACGTATTTCATTTTACCGTAAAAACCAAGATCAAAATCCACAGGGAAAAAATGTTATAATTTTACAAGAGCTTTGGTCCTATGGCCGGAACCATAATTGCGCACATATATTTAAAAACTACAGTAGGTGTAATATATAGCCGTTGCCTAAATTGAGAGTGAGAGACGCAAGGAGAAGGAACTCCTTTGCTATTTTTATTTTTTTAGCGTTTCCTTACAAATTATTTCAATTGGAATGGAGGTGCAGAACGTCTCTTTTTGGAAGCAATGATATTTTCAAAAAATATACCTGCGTATTACATCAGTTCACAAATATTTAAAGTATCTTATCTTATTAACGGTATTATTATATATCTATAAAATAAATAAATATATAAATAACAACGTATTCAGCAAAAGTAGTATTATAGTTGTTGATTCCCCCCCCCCGGAAATTATTATTATTAAATCATGATTAAAAAGCAATTTTAGGGGAGGTATGAGATCAAAGCCCACCACGGGTTAGGTAATTGCATTCAATAATTTCAAAACGACAATTTTGTTTAAGTCTCGCGCGTTCCCTCTTCTTATGTTTTTCCGATTATTCAATATTTTAATATTAATGAATAGTATAAATGATGTTTATAAACATTATACATTTATACGCGAAGATCGATAATATTATATTACACAAGCGCAAAACCACGTTCGGTTTCTAATATTATTTTCGACTGATCCGATTATTTTAATATCCATAATATAGATATGTGTGTCCTTGGGAACCGTTACAAATTCAAAATTCGTACGAGTTGAACAGAATGATCTTTTTTTCTCTCTATACATCATACCCGGCTATATATAGTATATAAATGCATATTATATTATATTCAAGGATATTAACAAATTCTAAACATGTGTTCCGGACATAATATAATAATTCATAATATATAAATATATATATATATATATAGAACATGTTACACAGAGTGCATCACGCATATTGGTCGTATTAAATATATTTATAATAAAAAAATAATAATATATGATTCGAAATCATCTAATTTCGATAATGATTATTCGATCCGTAGTATAATTAATATTGATCGAATTTATTGTTCGGAGCGTCGAAATTGAATAAAAACTACTACACTGTATGGAAATATACCTATATAGTATCTACTAGTGGGGGGGGGGAAATCCAGATTTACCAAAGTCCAATAATCTAGATAACGCCTCGAGAAGTACCTACCCCGGTTAATTTTGTTTATTAAAAATGCCGTAGAAATTCTGAAACTCAAATACTCATAGGTGTGAGGGCTAGCGAAACGTATGTGTACAGTACTTATTATATGCGATGATGCTCGTTTTGATACGAAAATTCGTTTCACGTACCTATTTTTGAACGATAATAAGACATTTTTTGAAAATTTTTAAGCCGTTTTCTTCCTTTTTAAAAAGATTTTTATGATTATTAAAATTGAAATTCCAATTTAAAATTGTATTTCAAGATTTGTACATAACTATTATAGACACTCGTATTACCTATATATTATTATCGGACATTCTTAATATAATAGTGTAATGTCAAAATAATCCAGATTACTGGAAGTGGCTCGTTTTGTTTCACAAATTCGTTTCATGTATAAGAATAAGAAATTTTATTTTGCATTTTTTGATCTTAAAGTTATTTTTTTTTTTTTTTTTTGGCACTTGTAATTTTTTAGAATATTGCATTCCCGTTATTCCCCGCCCCAACCTTTGTTCGCGGGCGGGCGTTCGACTTCACTATGCGGTGTTACTAAACCAACTTAAAAATGACCAGACGGGGTGCGTATGTAATATAGGGAGAAATTCCCAATGCCGAATCGCGAAATCTCCGGTTTGCCAGATATGCGTGTGCGGTGACCGTGTCCCATACTCGTCGGTGACCGCATTCAGACCCTGCACCGACCGCACAAGCACACGCCCCATGAGGCCGACCGTTGCCGCATGTGTGTACACCGCACACGCACGGAGTATCGATCAACCGGCTCGGTGCGTAGCGACACTGTCCGCTGCCGACACCGTCGTCGCTCATTTATTACGACATTTCGGGGCTGTACATTCCCGAAAAACGATTTCGGCCGGCTGGGAAAAAAAATCACGACCGTCCCAAAAACTATAATAATAGACCGTCGTCACCGCAGGAAAAAATTATTCGGTAGATTATCATGTAAAAAATAGAAAACTTTCGACAGTGTAAATTATTTGGAAGTACCCATTCCGAGTACTTCCCAACGTTCCCGTTACTCAAACTTTGGAAACTAAAATTATTGAGATAGCTCATTTACTTATAGCTGTCCCCCGAAAATGTGGACCTAGTTGAGCCTACTTATGCTATATTATGTTATAGACTTACTGTTCGTTATCCGTGTTAGGGAAGTTTATTTATTTTCAATTTTTCAGTTTTCTGAGATTATTCTCGTAAATTAATAGCGATTTTACAGATTCTCCTATGTACAATGGACACACACCGTCCCGGTTATATTTTATTCTATTAAAATATGAATATCCAACTAATTTTTATCAACCTAGGTATTCTAGATTCTAGATTGTATTAAGCCTATGCACACGATATAATTTCTTGTGCTCATACGAGCAAATTGAACGAGTAATTTTTTCGAGATTATATTATAGGGATAGGTTTTAAATTTCATTATATTTTACATATGATTTATAATGTTATATAGGTATACAATATATATTACGATAAAAGATTATGTATAAAATGGCGTATACTGCATAAGGTATATAGAAGTTTACACTCTACACTTTTTCTTTTGTATAAGAACTACAAACACCGTGCATACACTACAATATCTTTTAGTCTGTGTAAAATAAAGCAGAGATAATAATTATATGATTATATGAAGCCTATACTTTATTTACGAATTCAAGTTAAGTTTTCGAACTGAGTTATAATAATATTAAAGTTATGGAAAAAGATGGAAATACTTTGTACCATGTTGTAGGCCACTATTTTAGGTAGGAAGTTAGGTAGATAGGACATATACGATAAATCATCGCAATCGAAAAACTACTCTGAGTATTGATTGTATTTTTCTGTTATTGTAGCTATGGTAACCTAGATATGAACACAAAAAAAGGCCCAGGGGGAGAACCGTTGAAAATGTAGATAAATATTTCAAATGACTTACATCACCGGCTGGAAATTCAGTATCTTTTTAGGGTACCTATAAAAAGATTGAGAATTTTACTCGCCAAACAAATATTTCCGAGAGAATAAACAAAAATACATCGTTTTAAAATTAATAGTTTTGTCACTACAATAGTAATAATATTAAATTTGAAATACCTATTAAAATACTCATTTAGATAATATCTATGTGTTCGTTTATCAAACATATCCGTTAGTTTCTTCTTTTTTTCATGTAGTTGACAAAGTTTATACTCCTATCTTTGTTCAGTACTTTATGAAATCGATTTCTAGATATGTGAGTTCTACAAGCAGGTCTTTACGACCTTGTAAACTGCGTGGGGCATTTTACCAGATGTCTATCACCCTTTATGTTCTCTGTAGTCACATCTTGCGTTGACCTCGATACCAAATTTTACGATATTTATCCATGTACGCTTTTCCGTATAGTGTTTTCCAATTTTAACAAGGCAATTGGTGTCTAGAAGATAATCTTCTTTAACCATACAGAATAGGTCAATTCTTCTTTCCACATTTGTAAGCGTTCGTCTGCTGGTCTTGTTGTTAAGGGTTGGCATGATCCAAGGAAACTTTATCTTGATTTAAGTTACTTCTGAAGTGCTATTTGTCTATTAATTAAATGCCGACTATATACTATTTGTTTTCTTCTTTCCTTTCTAGTACACAACTCTCTTCAAACGTGTGATTCTGAGATGATTCTACTGACTATGTATAATCCCAGTACTAGCCGTATAAATATTAGCCAATATAATAATTATTGTCTTAACTACGTAAAAAAAACAATATTATTTTCTTTACACTGATATACATATATTTATATTATATCGGACCATTTTCATATTTATATAGAATGTGCATACCGCTTAGTGAGCGTCAAGAAAGTTTGGAAACTTACAGTGTAGACACACGTGCTGCGATACCGTCTAGATATGGTAGACGACATATATATTTTAACCAATTTTATGTTGATATAACTACACATTTTACAGAATGTAATATATCTACGTAGGCAATTTGAATAATTACCTTTGCAATTCAGCATTGTTTCTTATTTTCGTAAAAAATTATAGTGTTCCTAGTTTTGTTAAATTACTTAATTTATTATTACATAGTGCAAAAGAGGATAACTATAAATATAATTTAACATTGAAAGATAATGTTTTGATTTTTTTTAGAATTTAATATTATAATCAGGATTTGGCATTTAAATAAATTGATTTTATTGTGATTTTTTTTTTGTTATGTTTGTAAGCAATTTTTCTACTAGAAATCTTCCTCTAATAGAAAATTGCTCCTTTCATGAAAGGAAATTTTATTTTGTAAGTGCGTTAGGAGGTCATTTTTTGATTTTTCAAGGAGTTTTTAGTTTTCAAAATAATTAGGAAAGCGGAAAAAGACAAAAAAATAAAAATTGATACATTTATGGCGTTATTATTCCTTTATTTTAAATTTGTACAGTTTATGTTTTTCACAAAAAATATTATTCAAATATAATAACAGCCGGATAGCTTTTTTGTTACATTTTTAATCTAGTGGTGAGTAAGAAAGACGTTGATTTTTTTTGTATGATTTCTCAAGTAGTTTTTTTTAAGAAATGGAGCAAAACCGAAGAAAAACGTAACGTAGAGCAGAAATAATGGTTTCATTATTTTCAATTTTATTTATTTTTGGTATTTTACTATAAAATTTTAGTAGAAATTTGAAATATTTTTGGCAACTTTTAAACTAGACATTTTATGCTTGATAGTTTTTATTTGGAAGGTACTATGTGGATAAAATTGTTCAATAGAATAGAAATGCTTGAAAATTTAAAAAGAGGTTTATTATAAATGTTTCTTAGTATTCAAAAAACAAGTAGAATTTAATGTAGTAATGTATTATTGTTATTTTTATAGTGGTTTCACGATCAAATTTTGATGAAAATCCTAAATATTAGGGTTTTCCAAATCTTGTTCAACGGACTTCGCTCAAAATCGTTTTTCGTTAGCATCGCTTTATTATTACTTGCAGATATAAATTAAATAACTCTATGTATCCTGCCTTCCTAACTTCCCACCTACAACAGTATCAGTTCTTTTTTTTCAACTACTGAAGTAAGAAAAAAAAATACAATAAAATTTCATATTTGAAATCATGATTCTATCTAAAATTACATTCACGGATATGCATTAATATTCCATGTCCAACGAGGATATCGAAACTAAAAGTAGATAAGTTAATAAGAATTGGATAATAGAACACAAAAGCGAAATAATTTAAAAATTAAAACCAAAATTTCGATTTTGTCAGTGGCTTATGCAAGTTGGAAATATCCAGACAATAAAAAACCGAGAAAAACTTGTAAAAAACATTTTTTTGAACTCAGAATAATCGAAAAATAAACACTTTTAAATTTCTTATTTCCGCTCTTTGTAATATGATATAAATAAATCTAATATAAATAATCTATAAAAATAATTAAATTAGGGGCGCTTAAAATAAAAAAAAAAAAAAAAAAAAAAAAAAATGAAAAATGAAAAAGTAGAAGTGCTTGTTCCCCTATGATGCCTCCCTACAATTGAAGCACTGCACGTATATTACTTAAGAATTTATTAATATTTTTGTATCGGTAACTACTATTTATTTTTAAAAGTTATATTATAGAAATTTAAAATTATCACGTTTCGTGACTGTAGGTACGGTGACGTTCCATGAATTTTTAACGGGAAGAGATGTAGTATTGTAGTAAATATTCATAAACATAAATAAATCAAATAAACCGTAGAATCTTAACTTTATCCATCTCGTCAGCAATGGGAATTTAAAAGCCGGATCTACAAAAAAATGATTAATCTAGAAATCAAAATTTTCTTCGTAACTTGGATGAGATATTATAAATATATAGTATATTCTAAAAATTTTTGTCAACAACGAAATTTTTAAAAACTCCAAAATGTTGCAATATATATTTGTATGCAATAGGTACCTACATACATATGTATTATGTATTAAAAGTGATTTCAATTCAACTTCCCAAAAAACAATTTTCAATGGCGCAAAATCGTTGTCAACATCACGACCAGTATAGAATATTATACCCTGAGTTATAGTGTTAAAAAACTAATGAGCGATGGGAGGGGATATGACCGCTAACTTCCGTCCCGCTGCATACGTGACCGTATAGGCAGGTACATCTCGGTAATAACCGAACGTTCGTGTACATACGATACATTAATATTATTATCGTGTACAGTTCAACCGCGGGCTGGCTATATATAGGTTTACGATTTCACGTTCACGACGACAGCGCGCCGATACGATTCGTCGTTTAATATTAGTCGCGTAAAAAGCAGGAGAAAATTCTGGCCGACCGGGTGGGCCGAAATCGGATCCTGCAGCGGAAATAGCCACCGCTGCCGCCGCGCCGCTACCGCGCTGCGCCGTCACTGCTGCTGCTGCTATACTTTCCGGACGCGCATTTACAGACCCTATCCGAGTTCGACCTGAGCCGTGACCGAGTCGATTTCAGGAATTCAACGAAACCTAACCTACTCGTCGGCCCGAACGTGATACTGTTCCTAGGTAGGGTTATAGGGTGCTAAGCGTAATTCTAAAACTATGCAAACTGAATAGGTAACACAAGTTTAGATAGATGATAAACCGGTGGAGAAATAAAGAAACTTAACTTATAATTCTAGCCGGTGATTGGCCGTTAATATAAATCTGTAGATAATGCGCCAAACAAGTTACTCCTAATATTTATTAGATCGGTTTTATATGGGGGTAATATAATGTTTGATATTCATGTTGAGTGATCAATAAATAGATAAATTATGATGAATTTATGAAACATAAATCGCAATTTATTATCAAAAAAGGGATACGTATAGAAGAAAAGAAAAATTAAATTGTACTATTACACAGGTTTTACATTTTATGAAAATATTTAAAAATTAAACAATTATTTGTATCCCATTAAAAAGTTATGTGTTATATTTTACCTGTATGGAATTTCTTTGGTTCTATCTATTACCTTATCTAGATAATTTTAAAGGATTTAAAAGGTTTCGATAGAAAACCATGACGAGTCACGTACTTGAATATTGTACCAATCGACCCGAACTAACGGATACGATCTGTAAATACGCATTTCGGACGAGAAAAACCAATGCGGCACCCGACAACGGATATAACAAAATAGCCGGTCAAAATATGATAGTACCTACATAATATTATTTTATAAGTATATCTTCCGATTGAGAATTATTGTTTGTAACCTCTTTATACACGAGTATGACAGATTAGGGAAGTGCAGTGTTTTCACGACCGCGGCAATGATTTATGAGCGCGAAACTGTATAATACTGTCGTCTTAAAGAATCAGAGGCGTAACCGGGATTTATTTCCGTGAGGGGGGTTATGAATTTCAAAAAACAATCATAAAAAACACCTAAATTTTCGTCCGTACGGACGGATCAGCGTCGCTAATGCGGGAAGAATTAATGAAAATGAATACACGTATAGTGTTGTTCTCTGTATCTAACATATACAGGGTGTTTCACGAAAATAAACCCATTTTAATATCTTCTGAGATAAAAAAGATAATCAATGTTTCATATATATATATATATATATATATATATATTACTCACATGGGTAAGCACTACAAATATTTATATTTGTATGTTTTAGTAGAAAAAAGTGTATTTTATTATTTTCGAAAAATTTGAAAATGATTTACCATGATTGTATAGAGTTTATATTAATAAGTTTATTCTTCTGGAAATGTTGACGTTTTAATTTTTAAATCATTAAATTTGTGATTTTCAATAATTTTTTAAAGTTAAGTTAAAGCAGAGAAAAAAGTGTAGATTCAATTACCCATAATAAGAATAAAAATAATAGTAAATTAGCAAATGCGATTACAGCCTGCCGCATAATTATATAGGTGCTTAGTTGTAATCATAGTTATTAATATAACATTATTATTATTACGGGTACTTGACTGTACTTTTTTTAGATTTCGAGCGTATCAAGTGAGCTATTGGTTTTACAATGCTGTTTATTATTATTTTTTCTTTGTTCTAGCCCGTGGACACGTTTTTTCCTAGTAAACTTGCTCCGATGTATAAGTATATCACTTTTTCTGAAAGTTCAAGTTGTTAGGAGTGTAATTTTTTGATTTTAGACGCCATTTTTTAAATAAAATCACTTAAGTGGGGAAAAAACGTACTAAAACGTACAATTACGAATCACGATCTCGCGATGAAAAATCACAAGATACATTTTTTGTTGCTTTTTAAATTATTTTTTTCGGTATCTTTGCCCAAACTTTTGCCACTTTTGAGCCTTTAAGGAATTTAAATTTTTTTGCTGTAATTTGATTATAAATACATGCAGAAACTTGAAACTTGGTAATAATACTTATATTTGACTAACTAGACGTGGTCAAATTTTTAAAACCATTGGAATACTTTTTTTTTTAATAAGTGTTTCAAAATCAAATTTAAACGAAAGTCGCAAAAAAAAAATGGCACTTTAAATTATGTAATACCGAACTGCGTTCGTAATAATCGTTGCTTACAGATATAAACGAAATAACCTTATGTATTCTACCTTCCCAACTTCTCACATACAACAGCGGCCGCTCCCTTCTCAGTATCAGCTCTTTTTTTTCTGCTCTTTAAAAATGTTTTGAACATTACAAATTTGATGAAAATAAAAAGTTGAAACGTCAAATTTTCAGAAGAATAAACTATAAAATGGCTATTTTCCAATTTGTCGAAAATAATAAAATAAAAAACAATTTTTTAAATTTGTGTACCAAAATATACAAATTCAATTCAAATATTAGTATTTATATTCCTTATTCATGTGAGTACTTTATATAAAAAAAATAACAGAATTCAATTCACTGTATTATCTCAGGAGATATTGCAATGGCTATATGTTTGTGAGATTCTTTGTTATCTGTATACCTATTATACGCGTATAACAATCACCCACGAAGTATTTATATACGTTTTTATTTTTTGTGCATGTGAGCATATATATATATATATATATATATATATATATAATATCCAATAATGAAAACTAAAAAAAAAAAATTTTTTTAACCATCGATCTCAAAAAAAAATTCGAAAAAAACAACAAACTCATGGTGTATACGCACTACGCAGTATAGTGCCGGTAACCCGCGTTTGATTTACACGGTAGGTAGTCATCGATGACCTCTGCACGTCCCCTGCTTTATTCATGACATCTGTGACGACGTACACATCCGTATTATCGTGAGCACAAAACCACAACTTCTATAACCAGGAAAACACGCTCACACATAATATTATTGTTATTGTTATTACGACGACCGCGAGGACGAGATAAAATATATACATTTTTTTTTCAAAATAAAATCAAATTCCTAATAGGAATTTAAAAATTAACATACATTGTGATGAGGTTGATACTTGATAAGGATGCTTTGTCAACAAAATGTATGCCAAATTATGTTAAAATAATTAAATAGAAATTATATATATTCAATAATAATATTTGTTTAATATTGTGCCGATTTTCCCGTTTTTCCTAGGGAAAATTATAAATAAAAATTGTAATATTTTACTGGATTTAATTTAATGAAAATAATTTGAAGCAAATTTTAGAATTGTTAATAGATAATAGATGAACATAACCGAATAATCACGTGATTTTTATTATTTTTAAATAAATCTAATTTTAGATTCTGAGTGTAACGAAGAATGTATATTGATTTTAAAACGATTTTTATTATTTTATTTTTTTATATGAACACTTTTTCCAGTAGAAAGCTTACTTCTGATGTATACGGTGTACCCTCTTTTTTGAAAGGAAATTTGTCTTGGCATGGTACTTTAAACAGATCATTTTCGATTTCCTCATGGTTTTTCCCGGTTTTTCACATTTGCTAGAAAACTCTTAGGAAAATCGAAAATGACCCACTTGAAATACTATGACAAAACAGTTTCCAAATATGGAAGTTTTGTGGTCACATATTCTAAAAAATGAACATATTTCACACGTGGGTGGGCACTGTCTTAGATGCGAAGTTGGGAAGTTAGAAGGGAAATTTATTGTATATCTGTACGCAACGATTAACCATTGCTAACGAAAAAAACGATTTTGAGCGGAATTCGGTGTATTATTTCCCATGTTTTTTTCCGGTTTAACAAAAATTAATAAAATACAATAAAAATAAACGTTTAGTAACTAAGAATTAATTACTAATTCCTTAGTAATTACATTTACATAAAATACTAATTTTAATTAATTTCTTTTCTGGTTTTCTTGGTAACGATTCAGTAACTTATCAGAATAATCCAAGGTTTGAAGAAGTTTGTTTTCTATACTTAATAGAGATAATGCATTTAATCAATTTGAAGATGTTGTAAACATTGTATAATCATAAAACATGAAAAGATAAAACCGAAAGAATAATTATTTACGGTGTCTTACATAATATAGGCCACCTGTAGCCATAGATTTCAAACACTATCGATGAAGATAACTCAACTAAAAATCAATGAAATTACGGGTTTCCATTTTTTTTTTTTTTTTTTTTTTTTAATAGCAAAAAAAAATGTTTGCGTTCCTAATACAACTTATGACACCTCTAGGCTCAGCCTGCTTAACCTATTCGTTAATCCACCCCTGGATTGTGTTTATTCTTTTTTCTTCTTTTTTATTCTATGAAACATTTTTCTACCAGAAATCTTGCTCTGTCTAATGTATTAGACAAAAACAGGAAAATTTACGAAAATGCTTTTATTATTTTCAATTTGAGTTTACAAAATTACAAAGTGCATATATATATATATATATTATTTGACGTCCAGGTGATATTTTCATTTGCCTCCTCACCCCAACAAATAAATACCAAATTCTGACAGTTGAATAATGCAATTTGTTGAACTGGTAAGAATTTATAAAGAATAATATTATTTAAATTTTTATTAAAATTACTACAAAATAATTAATATTATTTTGCGCGTTTTTATAATGTTATCGCCTAAACCCATCTACGAGATCGTCGTGCTTCAGTGGTCACCGGTCCCTTAAAATATACTTCCACGTATATATTATACATACCTATATATATATAATTAAATACTGCAGGTATAGAGGTACATATTATACGCGATTTCCGATTTTCCGACGAACGGCTAGCCCCCGGGGTAGGTATACACGACTCCTGTAAATCGGACCGCTAATGGACAAACGCGCCGCAGGAGCGATGTGAGCCGGGCGCGGGGCGAAGTAATCCGGGACACGGGGATTGATCTCTCGCGGAAACGTTGACATGACTTACACGTGGACCCGCCGCACACCGGAAGCTCATATACAGTCGACGGAACGGAAACGCTCGGGGAGCGGCTTTATTATAAATACGTATATACGTGTGTGTTCCGGGAAATCCGCGGCGTTTAAGGGGCGGCACTGCGGAAGGACCGTCGCCGCCGCCGGCCAGTGGTGCTGCCGCATTTCGGCATATCCGCTAATACTCTCGTATATAATAATAATAATAACATAATCTATATTATTGTACACATCGGCAGAATATTATCATTATTATTATTATTATTTTTTTTTTTTTAACCGTCACCGGATTTGCCTGGGGCCCGGAACGCGTATTTTGCGAATGTGTATTGGTCCGTTCGGAACCTTGGTCGAATTTTGCCGGAATACGATACACTCGGTACACATACGTGTTGTTATATAGGTATAACAATCGCACCGATAAAACCTTATGTCCAGTGGCGAATTGTGCCGCCAAGAGACCGGGAAGTTTCCAGATGGGCCAGAACCCGGTCATGATTCTATGACCGGTCCTATCATTGTAAAACTGATTTAATACTTAAAATTGTTCGTTTTTTATTTTCAAAAATATTATTTTTTATTACCTATGATGTATTGTGCATACGTCTTTGATAATAAGGAGGAAAACGATCACGTTTTAAGATAATATGATTGCCTGACGGACTATGATATGGTGATTAAATGTGTCGTGTCCACAGATATATAAAACAAATAATTAAGCCAGTGAAATGAAATTCTCCCGGGCCGGTTAAAATTAAGAATCCTCGTTTGATTAACGTGCAGTGGTTATAGTGGGTAAGGGGTAGTTGGAAGGGGCGGAATTCTCTCTTCTTATCTACGATAAAATTATCCATCCCATCATTTAGTTCAAGTCTTCGAAGTTCACATAATTGTACTGAGCAGGCAATGCGTAGGAAAATATTTGAGGGAAGGTAATATAGTTTATTTTCAATTCCTATATAAGTATTACATTTTTATGAACAATTGAGTATGCGAGAGAAAAACACTTTGAAAGGCTTGTATCCATAATGGGTTTTCTAAAAGTTTGGCTATGATCGTTAATTCTCGTGACTGCCCCTCAATTTTCTGCAAATATAGTCTTCTTTCGAAGTTCTCCCCACTTTCACTAGTGTAAATAACGCGTTGCTCCCTAACCAGCGATATCCGGTTCGATTTTGACTTTTTGTTGAAATTTGTTTGCGTTTTTTCCCCCTGTTAAAAACCCAAAGACGTGGTTCTGCTAACAAACCACAGTTTATTTTGTGTTGAATGTCTGACATGAGCTCGCATACGAGTTGAGGAAATTCTGTTATTCTACATTAAAAAAATACACCACCAGGGCCGCGGAAAGACAATTGGAAAATGTGCGCGGCGTCGCGATGTACGCAATTGTAAAACAACAATTTACTAGCCATATTCCTCGGCTTGGCCAATGTGCAATTTCGTAACGAAAACCGTATAAGCAAAAAAAATCCACAGATTTGTATTATTTGGAAGTGAACATTTTAAACCCGGGGGTGCACAGGGGACCTATATATGTACATTGTACATAACCATAATTTAATTATTTTTTTATAGACTGCAAAAGTGCTGAAAAAAAAAAATCATAACCTAGAGTCAGTTATTTTTATGAATATTATATTAATTATTCATTTTATAAATAAATAAGATTACCAGTCGTTAAGTAATAAAAATTGCACGTGCCTATAGGCTCCAAACTACGGAAATAGTTATTGTACCATTTTTATTGGAGTTATTACATTTTAATAAACTATTGTACGTGTAAACTTTTTTAAACTATTCGGCATTTGGCGAACAACGATTGGCCTCTCCTGCCCCTGTCCCCTCTTGCGGGCGCCCTCGACGGCGCCGACACGCACCGTGCACCATTGTTAATACGTGTGTCGCCCCTGCATAACGATATTAGGGGTGAGTATCGGCATAAGCCGATGTCAAATATCGAAAAATCGGTTATCGGAGTTTTCTTTTTAAACCGACATCAGACCCGATATTTTTTGAAAAAAAAGTGCTTAATTTAATAAACACGTTATTAAAGTCATATAATATATATGTATGTATGTTACTATGTTAATGTTGTAGTATTTATATATTAACCTATTTTGTGCCATTAATTTTTCATAACTTTTGCCGTAACATATTATATATATATATATATATTTAAATTATATCGGTAAAAATCGGATATCGGATTAGAGGGATATAACCCTTATTATCCTTCCTGTGCATGCCACTAAGTATAAAATAATTACTTATCTTATATCTAGCAGGCTCGTGTACAAAGGGGGGTTAGGGGTTCAAATCCTCGAAATGTCATGAAAATTATAATGAAAGTGGATTTTAAATAAAGTCTTAAAAGTAGTTTCTGTCAGTGAGGAAGATAAATACAATTTTGGTTTTATTAATATTTTATTACTAGCTTACTATTGTCATTCAATATTATGAATTACGTTATCATTTAGGCTGTATTTACTAAAACAATGTTAAATGTAAAATTTGGTAATAGTTACCTAAAAGGCTAAAAGGCTGTCCCAGGATAATGGGGACGAGTGCAGCCACTGTTGTAGGTAATTTAATGCATACCTGTAAGCAACGATTAACCATTGCTAATGAAAAAAACGATTCTGAGCGAAGTTGAATTGATAGTATTGGTTTGTAAACAAAATATATGCCATATATATAAATATACAATTATAATATATACAAATAATGTATATTACATTATATTATAAATGTATAATATGTACAAAATAATTACACAATATGCATTATATATTTTCTTTAATAATATTTGTTTAATTTTGTACCTATTTTCTCATATTTTTTTCTTGATTTTCCCATTTATTGGGAAAACTATTTGGAAAATAAAAAAATGGCCTCCCTAAAATACAACCCTAGAGAAATTTCTTTCCAGAAAAAGTGTTTATTGTAAATCGGAGCAAAATTGCTGGTAGAATAGTTGTCAACAGAAATAAAAAAAAAATAAACATCATTATAAAACCAATACATTCCTCGTTCCGCTCAGAATTTAAAATTAATGTCATGAAATAATGACATTTTTAATGAGAAATAAATAATCCTATGATTGAAAACACGTAAAATTTTTCGTTATAAGAGTAAACTCACCCTGAAATATTTCTTTTTAAACGCACACCGTCACTTGAGTATTACATTTATTTTATTTAGCTCGAAATCTGGGCGTGCTAATTTTAGATTTAGGGGTGTCAAGCGTCCCCCGGCACCCCCGTATGCGCGCCAATAGTCGGTAGCGAACATTCGTGTACAGCGTGTTGGAAAAATGTCATATCGTATGGCCGTTAAATGACACGCGATTTTTTTTTTTATTTTTTTGGCATTCGCCCCGGACCGCGCGTCACGACTCCGCGGGATTATAACATAACATAAGCATTCCCGCTGCTCGATAGCCGCGGATGTTCTCGCGGTGCCGGCCGAACCGATTACCGCGCCCGGCACCGTTCCGCCGTCAAACGGCCGCGATTTCGCGTAATTATGATTGCGCGCATTATACGTACGCACGCGCGCGCGCGCTGACGGCGTATCGCGGTAGCGCGCGGCAATATTACAGTACTATCGCGTTATTATTATTATTATTATTATTATCATCATAATTATAATCTTATAAACATTCGTGCGTCTAACGGCCGGGCTCGCATTCAAGTCGAGAAGACGTCATCGGCGGCGGCGGCGGCGGCGGCGGGTAGGGATCTGCGCTAGCCGCGCGCAATACGTATACGTTGTTATTATATTATAATTGTCGCCCTCGGACGGTTAAATTATTATTATTATTATCATCGCGCGTATTTTCGGTGGGCGTCGTCGTCGTTTGGACGTGCGCGGCGGCGGACCCGTCTTAATAATTTGATCGAACGTTTTTGACAAACGCCGCCGCCGCCGCCGCCGCCGTTCGCACGTGCGCCACCACTAATAACGTAATAATAATAACGCGGGCACTACGCAGACGCGACAATAATATTATCATTGTGTGTGGCGGGTGCGCGGGGCGAGCGGTCGACTCCCCTGCGAGATTTTCTGTTAAAATAAATATTTTTTAAAAAAACACGTTAGACGTACAATTGATATATGGAAAAAAAAAACAAAAAAAAAAACGGACATACTTCGCTTGATGGGTGCAGCCATTGTTGCAGGTGGGAATTCGAAAAGATAGTAGGATACAGAAGATAATTTAATGCATATCTGTTAGCAACCATAGACCATTGTTAACGAAAAACGATTCTGAGCCGAGTTTAGTTGATAGTGATGCTTTATCAACAATATACGTGTCATATTATTAAAAATAATTAATACAAATTAATAATAAGCATAAATAGTAAAATAATTAAATAGGCATTATAATATGTGTTTTTTAATAATATTTGTTTAATATTGTACTGAATTTCCCGTTTTTTCTACGTTTTTCAGGTTTTTCCCATATACTGGGAAAACTCTTTGGAAAATCAAAAAATGACTTCTTTATAGTGCCACCCCAAGAAATTTTCTTTTCAGAATAGGGTCTACCTTGTATACATCGGAGTAAGTTTGTTATGATTGAAAAAGTGTCCACACATAAAAAAAAAAATGAAATATCTTTGTAAAACCTATACATTATTCGCTACACTCATAATCTAAAATATTCAACATCATAACGAATAGTACCTTTTTTTTTTAGCTTAAGTTTTTAGCTTAAACAGCGGAAGGATCTATGGAATTACCCCCCCTCCTTTGGAACTACACTCGACCAAGACCTTTAAAAAAAGTCCTCGTCGAGTAATCGCTATTAGTATACGAGAGGACATAATCAATATAATCGGGGGCTTAAGCACCCTCCAAAAATATTTGATTATTTGTACCTCCAGCGATCTTTGTGTAAGGTTCGATTTCAAAGATCGTTAGCTTCCCTACCGAGAGGACCCGAACACGCTTATACCGACGTTCCTATACCTAACTGCTTTCCTACACGGCCGTCGCCTAACGAGCGTTTTTTACAAAGCGCTCGCCGAACGTCTGATATATCTAGCAAACAAAAATGTTCGTAAATTATCGTATAAATCACGAACCATCCAAACCACCCACCCGCCTACCGAAAAAAAAAACGTAGAGGCCGTGACTTCTCCAAAATCCCTTCGCCACGTCACTGCACTTTCGTATATACGTTCCGGGGCCGGCACGGAATAAATTCAAAATCGATCAACTCGCAAGCTGACGATGCAGCATACTTTCTGTGCCAGCGACAGCGGTGCGGCAGTGTGTTTGTCGCATTCCCTCGATTTTGTGGTCATAATATAATACGAACGCTGCAGACGGTAATAATAATAATAGTAAAATATAGGTGCGGGTTTTATTTATAAAGTATAATAAGTATAAAATATTAACCAATAGGCTGAGTGTTAGGCTGCAGTCTAGGAAACGAATCGGCCAATATCAAATTTGTATTTATTTTTGTTTTTTTTTTTGTTTTTTGTTTTTGTAGTTTTGGCACGCGCAACGAGCATGCACAGAGTACACTTCATAAATAGGAAAAAATAAATTTATTAGTTGCATGTGTGTTCCATCCCAATATTCTTTTTTTTACCAATTCCGTCCTGGGTAAAAATAAGTATATACACCTATTCCGTCCCTAATAAAAAGAAGGTTAAGTGAAATATTACAATATCACTATATCAGTGCAATAAAAAATAATAATTTATAAAACTATACATTCTTCTTATCAATGTTAAATACAAAAAATTCAAATACTTTTAAAATACTAATAAGTATAATACCTAGTAATATATGCCAGGTGATTCATTAAAGTGCGTAAACACATTATCTCGAAAAGTATTAACATATACCGGATTTTTTTCTAGAAAATTGTAGAAACAACCAGATCTACAATTGTATCTTTATGTTATTATTGTCATCCTTACTTTTAGGGATAAAACCACTACCTACTTATGATTTTCAAATGGCAACCTATATTAAAAAGTCCATAAATAGATAGAGTATTAGTTAAAATCAATAATCAATAATTTAATACTTAAAATGTTTAAAATTTGATAGTAAAATGTGTTATTAATATTATCGGTTTCTTCTTTATTATCTGTTTATTGAGTACAAATCTGTGTCTAATGTAACAAATGTTTGAGCCTGTGTCAGCGGTTAATAATACTATTATAGTTTTTTAAAAAACAACTTGTGTGTAATGATTCCGTTAATGTATTTATTTTGTGAATTATTATTTTATCATTCTTTTTTTTATTTACTTTAGACAAAGAAAGGGAACAGTTATTTTTATTGCTGTCATTTAATCTAGATACTCGTTTACTAAATTGTCTAACGTATTGTTTTCGTCCATGAGCAGAATATCATATCATGTTTTATATAAAACGACAAATCGGCGGATTCAAAGGAAAACGATACCTTTTTTTTTCTTTTTAATGTAATTAAATAATTTACTCTTTTGACATTGAATACGATATGTTTGAGAAACAACATTTCTGTTTTTAGGTATTTTTTTGTTGTGTTAGTATACTGTATCATGGAATGATAACATTAATTGTTCTTAAAATATTATGCATTATTTAATTGTGGAGTATTTTGTGATCTATTGAATTGTTCGCTGAATGTATTCAATTTTTTATTTAATATTTTACTAATAATTTTATTAATATTTTTAGTAAACATTGAGTTATCTATATCATTCGTTAATTTTTCGTTTGAAAAAAAAACCATCAAGTTAGGGTAGTGTTACCACTGGGTGACTCCTCTCTTCATTTCATCATGTTTTTTTTATTTACTCATTTATCACATATTCTTATTGTTCCTAGGAACAGATTGTATATTATTCGTATATAAAATAAAAAAAATATTAAACAATTTTTCGTTAGTCTCTTTTATCTCTTTTATTGTTTCGAACATTTTGTACATTTTCTCTTTAAATATGGACTCTATTGTTTCTAATGGCGTTGATTGATTAATCATAAATGGTACAATAATAATTAATAATTAATTAATTTTATTATCAGCCTAAAATTTTAAAATTTTGTATTCGCGAACATAACTTTTGAAATCTTTAACGGTATTATTATTCGCAATATATATTACGGTTGATAATACCTATTAGTTATCTAATAATCTTTGGTTTAAGCCCTTTAAAATATTACATACTATTTCCCGTTAAGTCGTTAATATTTACATAGGGTTACGTTTACATAAGGATTGTCAGTTATGTATATCATGGGTTGCCGTCATCAAGTTGTATCCGATTTTCTAATAGAGGGCTGAGAATGTCAATTAAATTTAGGCCACGAATTTAAATTGTAATCTTAAAATAATTTTGGATTCGGAGCGTAGCGAAGGATCTACATTGGTTTTACAATGATGTGTATTTTTTTTTTTTGTTTTTGTAATCAATTTTTCTATCAGAAATATTGCTCCGGTATAAAAAGTATAGTACTTTTTCTGAAAGAAAACTTTCACTGAGAAAGTAATTTTTTTTGATTTTCCAAGGGGTTTTTAAAAGCTCTTATCTAAATTATTTTTCATTATACTAGAAAAAAATTAAAAAATACGAATAAAAATATTTGACGAAACAGAAATGCTTGAAAATTTGACAGGAAGTTTTATATCAGTCGTACTTAGTGGTAAAAAAAAAAACATTGAATATAATGTGATTTGTTTTTTTTATAAGAGGTTTATAATCATATTTTTATGAAAATCGTAAATATTACGGCTTTTCAAAGCGTGTAGGTATAACCGAACTTCGCTCCGAATCGTTTTTCATTGGCAATAGTTTATCGTTAATTTCAGATATAAATTAAATAGGTAACTTTATATGTATCTTACCTTTCCAACTTCTCACCTACTATAGTAGCTGCTCTCATCCCCTGTATCGGTTCTTTTTTTTTATAATGTATACATTTTTATAAATAATCTGTTATTTGCCCGGAAAATATTCCGGATTTAAAATACAGTTTGTTGTTAATCAGCTTAATAGTTTTTTCTTAATTGGTCAAATTCAGGTATTTTATGTCTTAAAAAATATCTATACATAGTTTCTTCATTTATATATTTGAATGAGCTAGTTTTTAACTTAGGTAAAGTTCCAGTAAAGATAAATCTTTTTTAAATTTATTTTCTGATTTTAACTGACTTTGTTTTAAGCTTTTTTTATTTTTATTAATTCGATTTGATAATTATTAGTCGTTTGTTTTCAACTGCCTTTACATTTTACTTTGTTTTTCTTTTGGAATATGTGAGCTAATTATATTTTTAATTTTATTCGTTTATAGGTATGTATAAATTATGTATTAGTGATGTGCTAATATTTTTATTTTATTATGCATTTTTAGTTTAAGGAGATATAATCATTTAGTTGAGCACTACTTTGTAATATAAAAATAAATAGGAGGATGAGGGGGGGCTATGAAATGATTGACTATTTAACCCCATTTAGATGACTCATTATCTCTAGAGGAGAAAAAATGTTAAGTACAATATACAATAAGATTCTATTACCTGTTCTGTCCAGAACTTCCTCAGTAGCGGTGTTGACGTAAAACACGAGTATATTTATGATTATTGATGTTAATAGGAATTAGGAAAGTAATAGAGTTAACACTTTGTATCGTAGATCGATCATATTGGTTTTTTCGACGCACAAGAGGAGAGCACGGAGATAAGAAAACCACTCTTTCGGGCCGAGGAGTTGGTTCGAGAAGTACTTATATGAAGAAAAATAGTGGGAGAGTGTGTTTATTGTCATCCGGTCAGTCAATATTATATATTTGATAATGTATATAATTAATAATTACTTTTATTGAATTTAAATGTTAAATTTAACGACTTATAAATATCTAATTATATTTAATGGTATACAATTCATTGGAGATAGTATCATAATACAATGGAACATAATATAATACAGACGAGTAATATTAAAATGTATAATGTATATAACATCATATAGTTATAACATTGCAGTTTAATTTTGGATATTCGTTCAATTTTTAATTTTAAATTAAAAACACTTTTAAAGCGTATTATTTTCATTAGCAATTTCAATATATTTTTTTAAAATTTTGTAATAATTCAGCAGCTATCTCCTCCATTTTTCTTTATCGTACCGTTTATTTTAGAATTTGTTTAAATTAATTTTCCAACAGTTAATCCAATGGTCTGATGACGTGATTATAAATCAAAAAATAGATTAGATTTTAATTCAGCGTAAAGTGTACATAGACCAGTCAGGCCAATTTTTGAATTGTAGTCCTCAATTATCAATTTTTGAATAAAATTTTTAAAATGAATGGAAAAAAAAAATTTAATTTAATTTAAAAAGTGACCTGATCGATTCTGTTTACAGAATTATTATCGCTTCAGAACATCGATCGAACTGATTGCCGGAAAATTGGTTTAGGTCGTTATGTTGAATATGTGTTAGACCAAAAAAAATATCGGTATCCAATTCCTTAAAAAGGACGTGCTACTATCCGTATTTGTGCAGTTTATACAGTTTATGAGTAGTTTTCTAAACATTTTTGCAAAATGAAGTTTTATTAATTCAAAAATATTCAAGTTCACTTTCAAATTCGTTTACAAGTAGTATCGTGTCATCTGTACAAGTAGTTATTGTGTTATTGTAAAATTAACAAAAATGACTAAGATAAATCGTTTTGCGTGCACAAAAATACTTGGACTATGGACTAACAGTTAATAAATCAAATATTCATCATAAAACAAAGAGAACTCGCACTGTTTTATTGTTTTGATATCACCATTACGGAATAAGCTATTTTAAATTTAAAAACTTGAAACTATCAGATTTTTAAACAATAATAACTTTTCATAAAACCGATAAAATAAACTGGTCAACTGGATTTTACCAATCTTATTTTTCTATACAGTGAAAAATGTGACTTCTTAATCAAGTGTACAGTCTGAGCCGTTTTTCCTGCACTAAACAGTTTGTATAGTCGACATGTATGGGTAAGTTGCACGCCTTCTTAATGGTTACATTGTATAATGATTGAGAAAAAAAAGATAGGATACAATAAAATGTTATTTTATTTATTTAATATGTACGTAACGATAAACTATTGTTGATGAAATCCGAAATTCGATAGAAAAATTTCAAGTAAAATGTTTTTAAATGATATAATTTTTATGATTTTCGTCCAAACTCGAAAGTAAAATGCTTATAAAACAACCATTACATTATGTTCTACTTTTTTTTCTTCCATCAAATACGATGAACCTCAAGACAAGTTTTCAAAAATGTCTGCTTTACATTCTTACCACGTTTAAAAAAGACCAGAATTATTAGTATGTTGTGAAAACATATAATCTTTTCGATTATTTTGAATTTAATTACAATAAAAAAAAAAAAATTGAAAATAATGACATTTTCACTGTAGTAAAATTTTCTTTTTTCCAAATATTTTGTGTGCTATATACACAACCAAATAACGACAAAACACTGAATAAAAATCATCCAAATTGATAAAAAAACAAAAAATATCACATATTATTTTTTAATTCCATAAAAAAAATCATCTGTAAGCAAGGACAACGTATAAAAAATGAAATAAATATATTAACTATATAATACATAAAATGTACACGTATGACGTATTATAATTACCTTCAAGACAGTTTTAAGAAAATAGCAATAATGTCTTAATTTTAAAATGTAATAATATGGTATTTAGTTCCATGCAGGTGTATAATTTTAAAATAGATTAAGTATTTAAGTAGAATATGAGAAAAGTATGTCGTATAAAATTTCAAAATTACATTTATTCTGGGGAAAAAGAACGAACTTTGTATAATCAAGTACCCCGAAAAATGTTAATATACGAAATACGTATACATAGGTAGGTATTTTAACACACCACACCAAATATTATAGGTATGCGTGTTTTAGTTAATAGAAAGTAACTTTTTTTATACACAGAGTAATTCATTTAAGTATCTAAACACAATATAAAAATATTAAATTTTTTCGAAAATTGTTTTTTGTACATTTAAGAAACAAATATTTCTAAAATGTTACATTATTGTTATTTTTTATCATCCTTATTTTAGGAGGGTGTGAAACCACTACCCGTTTTTGATTGTCAAATAGCAAAAGATTCTAATCAAAATTTGTATAAATACATGGAATATTAGTTTAAATACTATTCGATTTTGAAAGTTTTGATTTCCATCAACCCGTTCACGAGATATTTACGAGATACGGCACAAGTGGCGTTTAAGTACTATGATTTATCGTTGCATACAGTTGTAAATTAATAGATATGTGCATCCTAGTCATCCTACATTCCCACATTCTCATCTACAACACCTGCTGATGGTTATCAGCAGTATCAACTTCTATTTTTTTAAATTCCGAGCGTAGCGATGGAACTATTGATATTATAATGCTGTTTTTTTTTTTTTTTTGTCGTAGCTTGTAAACACATTTTTTCCTAGTAAACTTGCTTTGATGTATAAGTGTAGCATTTTTTCTGAAAGCTCAAGTGGTCTAAATTGTACTTTTATCAAATCATTATTTTATAGAAACACGGACGACGTTTTCTACCAGAAAAAATTATATAATTTTAATTTTTTGGTAATTTTTGCTGTAATTCAATTATAAATACAAGTAGAGACTTGAAACTTGGTAATAATACTTATATTGAACTTACCTAGACGTGGTAAAATTTTCAAATTCATCGAACGACTTTTTTTTTTTAATAAGTGTTTTGAAATCAAATTTTAACGAAAACCATAAAAAAAAAATATGGCACTTCAAATCATGTATTACCGAACTTCGTTTGGAATCGTCTTTTGTAAAGCAATAGCTGCTTATAGATGTAAATGAAATAACCTTATGTATTCTACCTTCCCAATTTCTCACCTACAACAGAGGCCGCTCCCATCTCCAGTATCAGCACTTTTTCATATAAAGCTTATATGTCGTGATTATATAGTTATTTAACTCATCATCTACTGAATATTGGTGCAACGCATTAATGTGAAAAGTCTAAAGCTATATAAGTATTAAGTGAACTTACATCTGTTCCGGTGTAAACAAATTATATTACATATTTTTATTTTGGTTCTAGCCTAATATAAGTTTTCGATTTAGTTGTTAGTAAACAAACATATTTAAAATCATTATATTCGAGTACACAAATAAAAAGTAATTGTATAATTTAAACACATAATATATAATATATGGATTTAAAAACTTAATTATTGAACATTGTTGACGTGATAAATGATGCAATGACACCATTGCAGAATTAGAATTCATACAACAAAGTAATATTAATAATCTATCTTTCATTTTTAGTTGACCGCTATGCAGTTTATTTTTTTATTTGCTGGTTTTATATTAACAATGAATGCTATATTGGTATAAATGAATCGTATATGGAAATTCATTCGTTATAAATTAAACTTGTCAAGCCAAAAATTTGGTAGTTATAGTAAGCAATCATTTTTTTTTTTTTTTTTAACAATTTATGATAACTTAGTACCCGCTTAGAAATAATTTTTTTTATTGCGAAGTTGAAAATCTAATTTTTTCTTCGTACAAAACTTGGCATTTTTTACTATAATTTACTTTTTTAGTAAGATATTTATACCTAACTGAATTGGTGATATTTCAGTTTATTATGTTTTAATATGTCTAATTTTATTGTAGTTTAAACAATTCAATTAGTTTCCACAATATGTGAAAAAAGACGGAAAAAAACTCTCATAACGTTATGATAAATATTGACGATAATACTGTAGATAACACATTAAATAGTCCAAATGGTAAAGAAACATGTGATAGCGAACACGATACACAAAATGATTTGTGTTCAACCCACGTAAGATTTCTTATTATTAAAAATTATTAGAATAAATATAATTTAGTTGAAAATTATTCGTAGAGACTTGAACTTTGGACAGAAAATGTATATTTGCCTTTTCTAGACGGGGTGAAATTTTCAAAAATTTAAGCCATTTTAAGCTACTTATAGACATTTTAATTTTGTGAGTTTTGTACATAATTTTTATTCGGTAGGTACTGTTAAAATTGATAGACTTAATAGAAATGCTTTAAAATTTAACAGGAGGTTAATTAAGAGTCTATTTGAGTTTATTGTAGTATTTTTTTTTTTTTTTTTTGTAAAAGAATTTTAATATCAAATTTTAACAAAAATCGTTTAGTAAAAAATTATGTGGAACAAATCTAATTTTTCAATTTTTTTTTTTTCTTGCTGATTTAAGAATTATTGTGAAGTCAGAATTGAGCGGACTGATTAAGTTTCAAAATTATAGTTTTTTAAAGTTCTGATATTATGCGGGTATTATATGTTATGAAATAACTAAATATTGTCCTCTCTAAAATATGTTTATCGTGATTTAATGGTTAGGTTAGGTTACCCATTTTCATCCTAGAGTTCGTAAGTTCGAACCCGTGTTTCAAAAGACAATTTTTTTTAAATTAAATTTTCTTCGGGTGGTACTTTAAGAAGGATATTTTTTGTTTTCCCCGGTAATAAAAGGGAAAAGATGAAAAAAAACGGGAAAATGTATGAAATATATTAGTAAAATACTATAATTTTTTTTTCTGTAAACAACTTTTCTACTAGCAATTTTGCTTCAATTTACAATGATAGTACTTTTTCTAAAAGAAAATCTTACTGGGG